AGCCATCCTGGAATCTTTGAGCTGATAGGACTTCCAAAGAACTACGATGCTCTCATTGACGAGGCTACCCGGCGGAAATGTCCTACCACAGGCAAGGAACTTACGGATCCTGTCATTTGCCTCTTCTGTGGAGAACTGTCGTGCAGTCAAGGCACATGTTGTCAGAAGACGGATAGTTCTTCGGATCGTGCGGAGTTCACCAAAATCGGTGGTGCACAGCAACACATGCGAAAGTAAGTATCTAAGCATCGGAGGGTACTAAAAGTTTGAAAGATACTAACATTATGTACGTAGGTGTCAACGCAATATCGGTGTCTTTCTCAATGTTCGCAAGTGCTCGGTGGTGTACCTCTTCCGACTTTCAGGATCATTTACACCGGCGCCGTATATCGATAAGTATGGAGAGACGGATCCCCAGCTGCGTCATGGCCGACAGCTGTTCCTCAACCAAAAGCGATATGACTCTATGATACGAAACACAGTGCTGAACCATGGAGTGCCGAGTTTGATCAGCCGAAAGTTGGAGGCGGAGATCAACAATGGAGGATGGGATACTTTGTAGTAAACGGAAGGAGTTATGGACTGGTATAGGAAAGGAAAGCTGTTGGTGTTATGCTATGAATCAGGGTTACAAACTATGATATGATCCGTGGTGTCAGAGGAATGATTGGTTGGTTTTTGTATGCTTTTCAGTATCAACATGCAACATAGAAGCTTGATATTTAGGCTGAGTTTGCGTTTGTAAGTGTTTCTATTCTACGTCACTTACCGACGGGAACGCACTTTCAGCATAGAACTACATTTTACTATCGCCACAATTTAACTAGCCCAAGACTCAACTGACTTATACACAAAATACGAGATCCAAGTTATCCTTTCCATCTTTTACTTTGGGGCCATCTTTTTACTGTTGAATCTATTTAGAATCTAGGTTAAGTATTCTAAAGTCGATTACTCTGTACTTCGCAAGGTTTACAGTAAAAAAAAATCACAGTGTCTATAGATTCTAAAACTGTGACATACTTGTCATCTGACCAATCATATCGCGTCCGCTCTCATCCAGGCGCGTCTACCGTGGCTCAACTGCACTCAAGCCTCTTTGGATTCAATATGAACCACGACAAGGAAAGCACGCAGCGCAGAAGAAGCAACGGTTCTTTCCTTCTTCTTTAACCCCCTCCCCTTCTCTTACCCTGTTTTTCAACCATTTCCCCCTTCCCACCCCTTTTTGGCATTGCATCGTGTGTACCTGCCTCTTTTTTGTGATACCTAATAGACTGAAACTGCCTCTTGATCGCAATTTCCATCGGGGGGACGCCTCCACTTGCCTTGCCTTGCTCCCAGAGCACCATCAAAAATGGCAGGCAGACGTTCAGGTCGCGCTGCCGCCAAGCGGGCTGCGGCTGCTCTAGGTGAGTGAGTTCGAGCTCTCGTCTCGCAGCATCCAAACTTTTGTACAAATCAACCCCAATCAAAAAAACAACAAGCACAATTCTCCCAGGATAATCTCTTTTTTTTACTTTATTCTTCATACCTTCACGTCCTCTTTCTTTCCTGGCGCATTTGATGTTTTTATTTCCTTTTCTTCTCTAGACTTTTTTGTTCTGTTTTGCGCAATTGCACCTAAACAAAATCGCATCCCGTCACCATGGCGCCCCGTGGAAAGATTCGCTTGAGACTGACGCGAAGTACTAAATCAGAGAGCACCCCAAAGTCCTTCGCCGACTTAGAAGACGAGCCTATGCCCGATGCCTCCCCGAGTGCGCATGTTTCGAGGCGACAGCAGGTGCCAGACCCCGATGATGAGAAGGACGAGGATCACCAACCAAAGGAGGAATCAGGGGACGAGGACGATGCAGCCGACGCTGCTGAGAAAGATGATGAGTCCGTTAAAGAGCCCACGCCACCACCCCAGCCTATGGTTCGCAGAAAGCGACTGGGTCGTCCACCTAAGAACCGACCCCCGGACTGGGACAACATGATTTCTGTTCCTGCCGACGAAGCTAATACACCGCGACGTCGTGGCAGGGGCGGTTGGAGGGGGCGAGGCGGTCGTAAAGGAGGTCCTGCTGCGCCAAAGGCCGAGCAGGTTATTGACGGAGATGGAACGATTGCCGAGATCGCAAACGACGAGTGCGTGCTACCTGAGGATCCAGAAGGCGAGACCAAGGTCGACAAGCTGGGTAATTTACAGGGCGGGCGCGATTATCGCTGCCGAACATTCACAGTCTCAGGTCGCGAAGACAGACTCTACATGCTTTCGACGGAACCGGCACGATGTGTTGGCTTCAGAGACAGTTATCTGTTTTTCACGAAGCACAAGAAACTTTACAAAATTATTGTCGATGACGACGAGAAGCGGGATATGATTGAGCGGGATATTATCCCCCATTCCTACAAGGGCCGTTCCATCGGTATCGTTACGGCGCGATCGGTTTTTCGAGAGTTCGGTGCGCGCATTATCGTTGGTGGAAAGCGCATTATCGACGACTACAACGTCACCTTGGCCCGCGCCGAAGGTGCTGTCGAGGGCGAGATCGCAGACCCGAATGACCGCTTTATCGAGGGAGAGCCGTACAACAAGAACCAGTACGTTGCGTGGCACGGAGCCAGTGCTGTGTACCACACCAACATACCGTCAGTACCAGTTCCCAATGGCAAGATTGAATCTAGGAAACGCAAGGTGAATGTCAATGACATGAACTGGATGCTGGAGCACGCCCGTGAAGCCAGGTACGTATTTATAAACTGATGACATAGACAGTTTGAGAGTTATCACGATGCTAACTGACTCACGCAGCTCTTTCAATGCTAGCATTAATGCTATCCGAAAACTCAACAATGCTGGCGTGTACGACATCCACACTAATGTCATGCAGTACCCAGTAACAATGCAGCCAACGCGAGCACGCATTGAGCAAGTCGCCCCAGAGGATGAGGAGGCTACCGCAGGCAGCTCCGTGTTCCCTCCTGTCCCGGGCAAGATGGCGCGCAATTTCTTTGTTGCCGATACCTACTTTGAAACATCATCGGCGGGTGTCATATCAGCATCTGGGGTGGACGGCACAGTGAGGTCCGCCGATTTCCTTGCCTCATTCCAGGGGCTAAGTACCGTGTCTGATGATATCAAAGATCTTCTGCCTCCAGATTGTCGTGCCGCGTTTGACAGTGCCGTAGAGAAGGAAGCATCATATCGGACACAATGGGGCCCTGAGACTGAGAGTATGTCGCGCCGGCAGCCTATTATTGACAAGGCAATTGTACCTTACAGCATGTCATAAATGAAAGCTGCTCTGTTGACCTCTGGCGTGTGTACATCAGTATTGCGGTTTTGGCTACAGTGCTATAAACATCGGGGCATCGTTCTCGATTTCAAACAAGGGCAGGACGGAGTTGGCCTGGCACTGGAAGAAGGAAAGCAATACGGGCGTTGGGTGTCATGGATAAGCACTCGGTGTGGTTTTTTTTTTTTTTTTTTTTTACGCTACAATATCATGCATGAATCATTTGAGTATCGAGAGTTGTAATATATGATGCGAAAGATATAGCCTTGTTTTTGTAAAGTAGCAGATACCAAATCGCCGATGATTCAGCGTTCAGATATGACGACGGCCTTGGCTTGATTGCTGTGATTGAGGTGTAACAAACATCTCTCATGATAGCTATAGTGTTCTCGAGTTCCAAGCCCTCGGTCCTCTTCAAATTTTGCTTTGCATGGACGTGCGGAGCTTTGCAATACGATAACTTGCATTAACTAACATCGTGCCTCCTTCAGCCGCCCACGATCTATGTCTCGCTTCTTTGCCGGCCTCGGTCTCTTTTCTGTCCTGCAGCATTGCGGCTCCTTGGCACAGAAGCAGCGGGCCTAAAGAAAGAACCTAAAGAAGGGGGCTCTTTTCCTTCTGTCCCCATCCTCTCGATGCTCCATTCTGTATTCTACCTAGCCTTTGGATTTTCGGTTATTCAATTTTTTTTTTTACTTTTTTTCTCGTCTTTTACCGGGTCTATGATAGGTAGAGTCTTTCTCCATGTTGGTAATAGAGTGGGTTTTCTCATCACCAACCACGTCTTTGGCTGTAGACTACATACTTGGTTTTTACCCCCACCCTCGCTTGAGAGGTGCCTTTTGCTTCTTCTTGTTTCTTCATGGGCCATGTCATGGGTTTTGCGCGACTTGACTGAATGTAGAACAACGGCTTCCCCACACGGGTCCAATGATGCAGTTTCGAGCGTGATGATGATGAGGTGGTGTTGTTTGGTGTCAATCAGTGTCACCAGCGAGTGGCAACTTTGAGGGATGAATTCAGCCGAGAGACAGGAAAGGATCAGGGTCTCGATCGTCGTCCCTTAGCTCAACTTGGTGAACACTTGTGACGCAGGACAGGTTCTGCCTTGAGCTGTTGATGACAGAAGGGTTCTGTCTGTGTCGATCCAGGACACATCTTGTGTCATACCAAAATCCGGTATAAGCATTAGAATTGACGAAGGAGATCCTGCCTAACAATTGTGACGAACATGTTGCACTTCGGATAGATTGCAACAACTCCCCCTTGCACTCGCTGGTGGATAACTTGACGGATGGCGTAGGTATTCTGATATTGGTGTTTTCCTAGTGGAATACCATGATATCAGTATTGATCCAGCGGCAATTTCGCTGGCTGTCGTGAATGATGCAAATGATACCACACGTTACATGGTCATGGCAATAGATGGAGATGCCACCAGCTCCTCATGTGTAGATATGGCAAAGAGGCAATAGATCGTAGTTGGCACACTCGCCTTGCACCCATACAACTACATGGTTCAATGATAACAACGACCGTCTCCGGGGAAGGGGACCAAATATATCCGCCGTTCGTGATGGTGGCTAGATCTACCCAATGTGTCAAATATCCCCTTGACACTGGACAGATATTGATATTGCTTCCCAATGACCACCAGGCATTGGCAAGCTCGTTCTCTCGTCCATCAGTAGCGTTGGGAACACCACCAGTGGCAGGTTAATATAGGGTAGTATCAATCACAAGAGGTGCCAGGGCGTACATGGATTCCAACCCTCCCACGCTGTTGGTAATTAGCATGGCAACACTATCCAACGACCTATGATCTTGAAGGTATGTCTCATTGGCATGCAGCTCACACCGCTATACTTAGAGTCATACCTACCACGACTGGAGGTTGGGGAATTTGCTGGTACGACAGCCGCGTTGACTATATTCACAGAAGTTGAGGCCAGCTGACACGCCAGTGCACCCGCCTTATGCACCAAGCGAGCAGATGAGCTCGAAAGAGACACGGCTCAGGAGTCAATGGACTTTCAAGCAGTCATGCATGAGCATGCATATTCACTTGACCTAAGTTATATTCGGACGTCACGCTCGAAACATACAGAGACTCGTTCGAGATCCGTCCCTTTGTGGGAACACTAAAACCACACAAGTCCTGCACAACACACACTGCCCAATGCTCAAAGGCCAAAGCGCTTAGAGGATGAGGGGCATTTTCCGACATGGCCCATCAGCAAGGCCGTCCCTAGGGCAGACCGAAAAGTACATAGTTCGCGCGGCAATGAGAAACAAAAGCAACCGTCACGCGAGTGAACATGGTGTTCGTTGCGGTCAAAGGGCGCCAATGGCGATCCAATCCACTGGTCCATGCCCTAAGCGGCAGGGCCAAGCTAGATGAAGCTGCCGGTGTCGAAGCGAACGAGCGAGGTTTGATATTCTGTCAGATTAGTAACACCGCACGTTTCCCGGCTTTGCGGTGTAGTATACCATCTTGTGCGCGCGTTCACGACAGTCATCCAGCCAAACTGTTACATTTTCTGGCTGGGAAATTCTATATAGTTTCCTGTTTAACCACAGATCCCAAGATGAGAGAGGAAACGAGACTGCCGAACCAAAAGATGACCAAAGACCCTGAGAAATCTAGAATTTCCAATCCATTCAAGATTCAAGGTGCCATACCACATCAGGACTAGAGTCAAAGGCTCTGCAGTACAGACTCGCAAGGGGCTGTACCCATCACGATTAGCTCCGAGCGCCGAGTGGATATGTACGTTAATCAAGCGGCTGTGTTGGTCCCTACTCAACGTGTTCCACAATGTGACCCTGGGCAGTGTCGGGAATCGCTCTAGAGGTAAAGGTAGAGCGGAATCCATCGAAATGATTCTGATAATGTCACATCAAACGGTTCGGGACATTGTGTCCTACTTTCCCCTCCTTGTTGACACTAGATCAGCAAAGACCCAATGCAAACCCGAGCACAATTGTGTACGCTTTGAAGACCCTGAAATGAAGGGTCTGATAATTTGTGAACCGGGACATGGTGACAAGCAAACAACCCAAACCTGTTACACCTCGTCCCTCTAGGTTGTCGATATTGCATGATTAATAAATCGAATATCGTATATATCATACCTATCAGTGGAAATAATAACCGATAATAATCAGATAAAAAGTTATTCCCCCAGGATCATGTCTGTTTCAAACAACAGATATAAAATGTGATTCGAATCATCAATTTGCTTGGCAACAGCTGTGACGGGGATTCTGACAAAAACCACATTGCTCTATTGTTCGATATCGTGTTTGCTAACCACACGACACCTGTTTTATTTTATTATTTTATTTTGGGAAAGTATCATTCTCCTTCAAAACACATGTTTCGTCTCATTATTTCAAGCCACGAGGCTCGCATGGCAACCTGGCCAAGACGAGATGGCTCAAACTGACTGACCAGCTAGGTAGTTAATTTCCTGGGGGAACGGCGCTACGTATTGGCTCGTCTGCGTAATGTACAGCAATTGTTGTCCTGGCTAGTGGGCCCAATCTCCCAGAGCAGGGCTTGGGGGGCTCGGGTCGTGGTATTGGCTGAGGATAACAGCGGTGAACAGCATGTACGTCTCTATTCACCACGCATCCACTTTAGTGCAGCTGTTGAACAAGTTGACGATGTGCTGGTAGGCTAGACAGCCAAGACGGCGTGGCAGAAAGGGGTTTGTGGCCTAACAGTAGATGCGTGCATCGCGCTTGATTGACACGGCGTTAGTGGTGGATCTGAGGCATTTCCCTCCACATTCCTACTGCAAAGTCCATTCGGCCCAAACGACACTCGATACATGTTCTGGTGTGCTATCAAGAAGACGTAGAAGAGTGGTTGGGAGTTGCAAGTGAATGCGGCTATACAGCGTTGTGCTGTACACGTGGAGGCAGGTACCTGCCTAGCATCCTCATCCATATTGGTGATTCGCCAACAAGTACAGAGTACTATGTAGCAATTGTTTGCTCCTGAGTAGAAGCTTTGATTTGAGTTTTTGGAGGTTGATGACCCCAAAAGTCGAAATTTGGCCAACGTCGATCAAAAAACAGATTGAATGCTGGTCAACGCTCACAGTGATTTTATTTGGGTATGACCAGCATGGCACTACACCCAAACCCGTTACACGGATGGCTTAGACTTGGAGCTTTCGAGATCGGCTACGCGCAAAAGGCTGACGGGCCATTCAAAGGAAGACGAAAAAGAGAGAGGGAAAAAAGAAGGCTTGGCCCACCGACTTGCTGGGCAGCTCCTGACTTGCATGTTGGTGACTCCGAGAGTAGTGAGCTCTTGTGATCAGCGACAAAAGGAATCCCTGCATGTAGCGGTATTTTCGTACCTGGGCTCTGGGCCATTGGAGTCTGCGAGTTGAGTCAAATGGTTTCTGGAAGCACACCTCGACAGGGAGAGAGAGTGTGGGCCATCCTGAACTTGCTACATGAGTCGACCAACTAAATATTAAGTACAGACAACCTGAATATGTTAACAATCACACTCAACCATGATTGAGAGCATATAATGGAACAAGACGTTTCATATTCTGCCGCCATGTTTTTGTTGATTATATTTTGTTGATGTTGATATTGATGTTGATGCTGATGTTTTTGTTATTGTTATTGTTATTGCTTCTGCTGATCCATAATCTCATCTCGTTGCATTTTAATTTGAACAAAGTAATAAAACATGGGATCCGAAGCGTCTCATAATAAGTACCGGGTAAGGTACGGTACATGCAATGCGTGGGTAATGCGTATGGTAATTACTGCGCCTTGTGGAAATCGAAAGAAAACATGTATCGCCCCAATGTTAGACCGTGTGTGAGAAAAGTCAGAGAGCGCCAAATTTGGATTTGATCGGCACGAAAAAAGGGATTGAAGCTGATGATGACGATGGACGGCAATGACTTCCTTCCACCTTGACGAATAAGGGAAAGCACATGCAAGATCAGTCAGTGGCCGCGCAGAAATTTCTGGCGCTTCTTTCCTGCTGCAAGTGACGATTTAAGCCACAAGCATAATAAGGAGCAGGAGCTAGAGAAGGACACGGGAGGAGCACATGAGAATGGAAAGTGAAAGTGCAAGGCTGGCAGCAACTTCCATGCTAGTGACGTCTCTAATGGGACCAATGCAATGCAATCCAACCACCCCAAGCGTGGCAAGTGCTCCTCAAGCATGAGACTAAGTCTTACAGCAACCAGTTGCCTGCGACCCCTTGGCTTTTTTTTCTGATGTTTGATGGTTAAAATGCAGCAACAATAATTGGCCTGCAGCACAATCGTTAAGGCAATCTTGGCTCCGGTGTCTAGCAAAAACGGTCTTCATGCTTCCGGTGTTTTTAAAGCCCCCAAGCCATAAGAAAATCAGAATCACGAGACGAAGAACCTAGGAACCTAGCCCCTGGAACTAATTTTAACACGAGGAATTGAGGAAGGAGAAAAATAGCAACTTATATCACTTGTTGTAAGCTATCTTTGGATATTCTCCAGAACAGCCTAAGCCGATATCCCAACAAATATTTTTTTCTTATTTTCCTATCTTCCCATCAATCGATGTCAGTGTCAAAAAGACCCATCGAGCCGTCACAGCAATAGTGGAGGACCTCGCCTCTCTCCGAGAGATGGCCCCCCGATGGCTCGGATCAGGTGAGGGCTTACTTTTACAGTACGAGTCGCCATACCAGAAATAGCGTCCACTGCCGCCTCGGAGTCCACGCCAGTAGCAGGAAGGGGATGGTGCTGGCTAGGGGGTGCAGTCAAAAAAAGAAAAAAGGAAGAAAAAAAAAACCCTACGGAATCTTTCAACGAAACGAAAGAGTGCATGTACCCTGTACAAGACATTAATTGAAGACTCAGTAACATATGTATTTCCTTTACATTAACCATCGCGAGACTTTTGCATATTCGAAATCAGAATAGATTTTGTAGGGAGATATATGTCGACTCTGATCTTATTTTACGTTCACTATAGTTGAAGGAAATTGTATTGAATTGTTTTCTGTTTTCTTATTGACGACATGTATGGAATGTAAACCAGATAGATGATTGTGTACGTTTCCATGGCTTTGCCCATACTTACTGTTTGTACCTGGACAGACCCGAATCGCATCATGATATTGCAAGTGGTAGAGATCGTTGGTTTGGGAGAAGTAACTATGTACTCTCGTCATCATGGCAAGATGCAGTCGATGGGCAGCGAACATCCTGTCCAAATCAGGGCACCCAGATCCCAATATCGGTCTTCTCATTCTCTTCATCGAACTGCGTGAAAGATCCCAGGATCAGTCAATGAACCGACATTGGCTGACAAGGCCCTGTGGACCACTCTCGTTTGAAGCAACGCTAGGACGACCAAGTCGAACAAGTCAAGGAAGCGTGGAGCCACTGAGACAGATGACTACAATATACCTTGGTGCATGTACCTGGTGCCTCTTGGAGACGATGAACCCTTCTTGCACCGAAGGCTCCGAATTTCCGGCGTAATTGTTCCATTCTTCAACATTCAACATACACATACTACATACACGTAGAAGAAACCGTCTTGTTCCACGGCTTGTCTTTTGTCTTTTGTCTTAGGGCAATTGCTGTAAGGGTTACTTTCAGGGGTTGGCAAAATTTTGCAGATATGAGTATTGACTAACTGGCTGATTCGAAGGGTAGAATCAATGACTGACTGGCTTTGATGGAGGCGGGTAATACATCTCAGTTGCTGTACTGTACGCGGCTAGGTAAAGGTAGGTGAAGCAGGTTGACGCACGACCACGGTGGAAGTGGTGGTAATGAATGACCTGGGGGCTGCGAGACAGACAGTGCTCTGATTGATCAGTCTGATATTTGATGGAAGAAGAAGCTCCACCCATGGTTCTGCTGGGTTTCTCACACATCCCTTCTACCCATGTCCCTGTCCCGTCTCCGTTCAAGGATGGTTCCACTTTAGTATTCTCTAACTGGGGCTCCAACCGTCATTCGCTACCTGGGTCAGCCTGTTCATACAGACTTTTTTCTTATATATTTCTAATTTGTTCTAGTCTTCTAAAGGAATATGTAGCATGTACACACCTGTAGTAGGTGCTTGATTTAGAAGCCCACGTTAGAATGACAGTGAACTGTACTGGCTAAAGAGACTGTCTTTGGTCTTTTCAGTATTTTACAATCGTGAATTGAGCTTCTGCCAACAAGAGTTTATTCGTTGATGACTCGACGCACCCCAGTTTTATTTCCTGCTGTTCCACGCCCGCCGCCGTCACTTGTCGTTCCGTGCGTGGTGAGGTGAGGTGCATCGCCCGGGGGCTGCTGTAGGCTAAGTCCATAGAGTAGGGTAGGGTACGGTCGGGGGTCCCAGGGACCCATCCACCCATTTGAGTCCACTCAAATGACTCCTCATCAAGGAAGAAAAAACTGGCTGGATAGGATTGGATGGGATTGGATTGAACTGGGGCCTGGGGGACCTGGCAACTGTCGGGCACTACTACGCTGCACGTTGACGCTGGGCTTGGCTACGTACCGCAGCCGTTACTACTACGACCATTTTAGGTGTCAGACCAAAGAACCTCGGCGTACTCGTACTCCCGTCTTTACTGATGCTAGTAAAGGTACCTCACACGCAGGCACACGCACGCAGGCACGGTTGGTACTGTACAAGCCCGAGAGACGTACCTTGCTCCAGGCCACTTCCATAATTCACGCTCGCTGCAACAGTGGAGGAACGAACACCCGACCCAACTGACCAGGACCTGAAGTCCGCCACGCCCACCTCCACACTAACCTGTCCGCACACTCGCTGCACACTCTCTCTACGCGCATTGGACCAGTCCAGTCCAGCACCGCATCATCCCCCATCCCCATCTCTCCATCTTGCCATCCATCCATCCAACCTTTCTTAGCCCTGGGCTGTCGGGGCTCTTGCTTCTTCTTTCATCCTCTTCCACCCTCACCATCATTTCTTTTTCTTCCCCTTCCTTCACCCTCCTCACCTCACCTCTCTACTTCTCTACCTCTTCCTCCTCCACGATAGAAACCGAACTCTCCCAACACCTAGACAATTACCAGTTAGCAGGCCTTCATTTGGTTTGTCGACTCTGGGGTTCCGGTACTTTTCTCGCGCGAGTTTCTCTGCCCTGTCCGTGTCTGCCCAGTCCGCTGCTGTAGTAGACTCGAGCTGCATTCTCCGAACGTTCTTGAACCATAAATATCAACAACCTTTGGACTTGTGGTTTTTAGGGTTCTCTTCCTCACCTTTTACGCTTTCCTTACTCCCCAGACAACTGTCTTCTCTCTTTGGTGAGTCTCACTTTATTATTGGTTTCGTCACGATCTATCAACAATTGTGGTCTCGCTCTGTCCAATCGACCAACAACACTCGCGTACATATTCAGCTTTTTCATCTGTTCGCCCTTGCCTGTTCATCTTTCTGCGTTTTCCCTACCGCCGACTCTCAATTCTACCAACGAGTACCGCGACAACGGCTTCGATCTCGATTCCGACGACTGCAGACAATCTGACCACACCCCGACGATCATCATGACAAATCTGGCCAAGACCTCCAACTAACTTTCAGACCTAGACTGCTTGGATTTGAGACTCACCGGGTTTCCTATACACCATCGGCATTGTTTTATAACCGTTCACAACAAAAGCAATTCCTTCTCTGGCCCCAATCGGTAGACCATTTGCGAGTCATCGAATTATAACGATTCGTCTATATACGTTTTTCCGTACCTTGACGTTACAACCTACGGTCCAAGGTGCTTCAGTAAATGGCCCGAAGCGCCTACTGAACTCTAGTCGATCTATTATCGACCCAACCTCGAATCATTTTTGCGTTCACGCCTACAGGACCGTCTTAACTGTGGTATAAACCCACAGTTTCGCTTTACGGCCCGCAGTTCCGCTTCGTCTTCCGACAAAGGTCGCGTTCGATCTTCGTCGGTCCCATCTCCAATCTTTCATCATGCCCGGAGGCGTGTGTGCCGTCCTCGACTATGAGGTCGACATGATGTCCGAGTACGTTGCCGAGATGGCCACCCGTGTCGTCACACCCGAGGCTGCTGTGACTTCGCCATTCCGCAAGTTCGTGTCTCAGATCCTCACCTCGACACGATTGCCCAGCACCACTATCCTCCTTGGAATGAACTATCTCGCCAAGAGGATCAACACCTTGAAGGGACAGGGTCCCTATAAAGCTTCTGAGGGACAGGTCTGGCGTTACCTGACCGTTTCTTTGCTTCTGGGAAGTAAGTTCCTCGATGACAACACCTTCCAGAACCGCTCTTGGTCCGAGGTGAGTGGCATCGCCGTCTCTGAGCTGAACTCACTTGAGTTTGAGTGGGTCGAGTCCATGGGCTGGCGCCTCTATGTCAATCTTGACATGAGCAAGGATTACCAGGCTTGGCTCGAGAACTGGCGTGACTGGCAGAGCATGAAGAAGCGACAGGTCGCCCAGGCCAGCCGCGAGAGGCTCGCATCTGTTGTTCCCGCCATCGATACCGACATCGCCAGGTATTCTGGTCACCGCCAGTCTCCTCAATCGCGTTACCTCCAGGAACAGGTTGCCGAATACGAGCGCTACCAGGCTATGAAGTCCCAGCAACAGAGCTACCGCCCACGCGAGTCTGGCTGGGGTCACACTTCTTGGGGAGCTCCTCTCACTCCCCCCGATTCTGGCTATGGCACTCCAGACTACGCTATGTCTGCTACGTCGAGCAACGACCGCTACAACGAATGGTTTTCTCAAGCCGCCGCACAATACGCCAATCGATATCCTCAACCTCCTGCTCATAGCACCTTCTACCCCAACTCGCGCCATAACTCCTACAGTGGACACTACCACTATTCACAAAACATGTGGGAGCATGGTCTTGCTGAGTGTAGTTGCACTGGCTGTGTTGATCCCATGAAGCAGCAGGTTCCCTATTTCGTGCCTCACGGCTACAGCCAACCCGTCATGGGTTAAAGTCTTACCAAAATGCTTCATTTAATGCCTCCGATCGAGGGCGGTTCGATCTTGGAAAGAAGAAAAAAGTTTTAAAAGGTTTCATTTTCACGGCCACGATTTTCCTTATTATACGCATCCCGAGAACGATAAATTCGCATTCAGATACCCCAGGCACGACAAAAATTGTTCATAAGATGACCTTTTCGGCGGATCATTCTCAGGATTTCTACTACAGCCATGAATGGATGACGAGACCCGGTTAGCCTTTGCAACGCTCTTCATGAGCAAACAAGGCTTATTGTTTCCTGGTCATGTCCGGACACTATGGCATTCTCCTTATTGTTTTTTTATTTTTATTTTTTACGTTCTGTAATGGTTACACTCGGCGTTCGGCTTTCTCATCTTACACTACACGGTTCTGTTCGATAGACTTGCAGTTTACAGTTTCCACCGGCACTCGCGCCCAGCAGCATTCACCCATTTTGTCACGTCACGATTCAAAGCCTGTCACTCCTTTGCGCGGCACTGGCTTTGATTCTGACGCTGACGGCAAAACGACGAAAACTTCAACACAACATATCCTACTATAGATGGCGATTCGGTAGCGTTGCATTCCTGCCACTCGCTTGGACACTACGTTCTGTGGTAAACACAGGATGTCACAAACGGTCACAATCTACTTCGACCATTTCTTCCTCATGTTCCCATGTCTATGCACAAATCAATGCAAATTGATTCGAAGCAAAGATGATTCGTTACTGCTCGATGAACTCCGCGGCATAGACTTTTTGAGGATGGTATATACGTTTCACTTTTTTTCCTTTCACTTTTTTCGTTTGTTATTGCAAGTGGCACATGGATTTTGACCACAGGGAACGGGCTTACATGACGGGGTTTATGCATTGCAACCAGCGGGTAAAACAAGGGATTTGGATTGATCGGCTGATCATCGGTTTGATATTTTATTATTGTTTCTTCATTTTTTTTTTAAACTTCCTGGTTTGTCGGTGCTGACATGGATTTGTCAATGTCAGCGTGCCTACCGCCAGAGGAACGGGCTGTTGCGCTCTTGACTTTTGCTTTGCACAGGGTTTGGTGTCAGGCACTGTGGCAGATTTACTTCAACGCCATGTTGAAGCAGCTGCTTTTTGTCGCGTCGGCTTAATGAAATCATTACAACGCCGAGTTTGTTTTTGCTATCACATCTTTTCTTTTTCACGACTTGAGACGATTCTCACGGAATATTCGAACAACATTCAAGGGCATGGAACGATGCAGTCTACAAACACGAGCTGCTTTGAATCTTGATATAACGATTCAACAATCCCGATGTATTTTTCAGCTCTTGAAAGCTGTTTTTAGGTAGCTGGTTTTTGTGTACTTTGTGCGCAAATAAAAAAAGGTGTTAGAAGCATTTTTCATTGCTCTTGTGCATGCAATGGGTTGGACAAGATGATTTGCATGAAGGTGGATTTGTAACATAGCTGAGGTAGGTGTCTAAGCAGAACACGAGCTGAAGCGGTATCGCATCCAGTTGTCTTGCTCTATTTTCTTCTGCAAGAAGTTTCTTGCTTACAGTTTTACTCAAACAATAAGAATAACATTGCAAACACACATATTACTTTGTGCCTCTATGGTGATGACTTATGAGCTGGTGTCGTTTTCACAGATTTGCTCAAGCCGCGGACGGTAGATTATCGGATATGCTGTTGGAATATGTGAGAGCAGTACCTGAGTTTGACGAATATTGACCTTCGTTTCCTTCGTACATCGATTTCGATACCTTGGTTGTAACCCTACTCATACCCGCACCTTCTGACTGTGACTGACGCCACGACTCATCCCTTCCATTAAACCATGTCCAACCGCTTTGTGTCTGCAGGCAAAATTGGCTCGTCAGGCGAAATATCTACAGAGACGAAGAGCACGGAATCAAGCGCAACACAGCAACCTCTTCACAGCTCTACAAAACTGAAAGAATGGGAAGCCGTTCAGGAACAACTGGAAGCTGAAAGGAAAAGACGTGAAGAGCAGCGCATCAAGTTGGCCACAGGAGAGGGTGAAAAGAGCTTGTACGATGTACTCCAAGCAAACAAAGGTCAGTTTCTCCTCCAAGATATGATATCATACTTGGCAATTGACATAAAACAACAGCGGCGAAGCAAGCAGAGTTCGAAGAACAAAGTAAACTACGTAACCAGTTCCGCGCGCTGGACGATGATGAGATAGAGTTCCTGGACGAGGTACGCGCAAAGAAACGCGCCGAGGAGGAACGCGTGAAGCGGGAGACAGAGGAGGGTCTAAAAGCATTTCGCGAGCGGCAAAAGGGCGATACCGCTCACGATGGGCCTGCTGATGCTCAAGAAGGCGTCGAATCGTGGGATATTGGCCGGAAGCGGAAGCGCAACAAGGAGAAGGAAGTCAAGGGTTTAAGGCGCAAGGTCAGCGCTGTAGAGGAAACTGGCAAGGAAGATCTGGAACCAGAAGAAACCACGGAACAGGACGGTGAAAAGGAGGTGAAGCCCAAAGCTACAACTCAAACTGCCTCGAAGCCGCCTGAAAAGAAGGGGCTGGGGTTAGTGAGTTATGGGAGTGACTCCGATGATGACTGAACATGCCACAACTTATTGAACATCGACACACTATAACCAGCGAGAGCCGGTACATTAGGATCGTTGAAACATTAGATCATGAACAGATACCGCCATATGCTCTATCAAAGACGTAAAACGGATCCTCGCTTCGCCTACTCAAGTATAATATAGATACATACATGCATATAGTCCTTTGATCATAAGATGCTCCCTTGAGTGATTGGAATACTAGTACAGAAAAAACTACACAGCGGTTTGGCTAAGCCGCGCCCCTTTTCATATCTCACAGATACGCCTTTTTTACTCATCGCTGTCCACGTCGCCAACATTAGGCCGCATGGGTTTGGCGGTCACTGATTCAACAGTCCAGTTCCACAAGCTGCGGAAGCTTCCCTTGATCCAACCCTCAACCTCGGCCTCGGAAACCTTGACTTGAGCGGCGCGAGCCTCGACCTCAGGAGTCATCTCGAAACGTCGCATGCGCTGCGCCAGACGAGGGTCAATGACAATTGGGGCAGGCCAGATCTTCTCCTTAGGAGGCTGAGTAGGAGTGGCCGTAGTGTTATCGTCGTCCGTCTTGGCGGGCTCCTCAGTCTTCCACACTGACTTAACCCAGTCATTCTCCTCGTGCTTGAGGACGAGCTGTTGCTCGTATTGACCATCGACCTCGCGCCATTCACGAGAGGCGGCGGCGAAGCACACGGCGGCGACTTCACGGCCGATCTCGTCGGCGAGCTTGCGGCGATTGAAGAAGCGGTTCAGACGAACGAAAGTGTGACGGAAGCCGAGGCGGTGGGGGAGAGGAATGGGATTTGAGGGAGAGAATTCGGCGGGAACCTGGGCAGGGAGACTGGCGAGAGGGTAGTCGGTGGTGGTGTTGTAAGGCACTGGTTGGGGCGGTCGCTCGGGCTTCTTCTCCTCGTCTTTTCCCCCCTCCTCCTTCTTCTCCTCGGCTTGTTCACCCTCAACCTTGAGGGTATCGACAGATGGTTCGATAGCCGCAGGTTTCGTTTCTGTCTCGGGCTTCGCAGGAGCATCAAGTGGACCGAGCCAGCCTTCGTGTAAACCTCTCATATACTCCTTCCATGTGTGCAAGCCAAAGACGATGTCGCCCTGGACGCCCTCATATTCTGGTATATTGTTTTTCTTTCTCAAAGCCGCTGTTATAGCCTCGTCTGTTTGTAGATCCTCCTCGGTTGGTCGCTCATGCTGCCTTCTCTGCCGACGAATCTTTTCTGCCACAGCGGCTCTCACGTCGCCCTGCTGCCTTCCCTGGACGAACTCCCAGTCAAGACCAGAGGCGGCCAGAACCGGCTTCGCATACTCGATGAAGTGATCCTGCGCAACACGCAGACCGTCCCCAGGGGGTGATTCGAGGTAGATTGTCAGCTTGCGAGGAAGATGGCTTGCCGAGGGGATTAAATCGGTTGCAAGAGGAGCGACGACATGCTTCCACTTGGCTGTGGCCCTCTTCTTCTCGCGCTTGTCGTAGATAATAGCCGCTGAGATGGAACCAGTGATGGCCCAAAAGATGAGCCAGTTTCGTGACGGGAGTTTTCGAGGGAGATTTGGCAGGCCCATCATTCGAAGAGCTGGATTCTGTTGCGGTTTAGGACTAGGGGCCTTGTATGTTGCGCCGGTGCTAGCAGCAGGCTGCTGCGCCGGAGGATTAGAGTCGGCCATTGTGTAAGGATGTTACCGCAACCTTGGATGAAAAGACAGGAAATGTTGATTGTCGAGATCTTCAAACCGTTTGAACCGCGGGGCAGCGAGCGTCGAGATACCGGCTTCACCATTTAGTTCGGATCGCTGAAAAAAAAAACGGCGATAAGCAGCTCCGATAAGGTCCGGTGGTCGGGATGGAAATACTATGGCTCCGGGGTGTTGATATAACAGACGAAGGGCAGTCAATGACTATGAGTATTTGATTCTGTGTTTTTTTTTTGATACAAGACAACAGATCTGATTACAATTCGGTCTCCAGTTCATTCAGAATTGTTATCGTGTATGGTATGTAGGCACTACATAGATAGGTATGGACTTCACTACCAATGTTTTTCTACGCACCTAGTATGTATCCTAAAAAAAAAAAAAAAAGACTGGTTTTGTACATATGCCGCTTCAACTTGGTTATCAGTTGCTCTCGACAATACTGTCTGCCGCTTGACGAGATACATATACTGGTACCAGCTTTGAAAGCCAACATGGATTGAGCATGTGACCATTGACTGAATTTGTTTGGACCAAATTGGTATCAACAGTACTCCCAATTTTGACATGTTCAAGGATCCCTGGCAAATTGCCATGTGGGAAGTGCAAGCGACAGTTGGGTGTTACAGAAGCCGAGCAAGGCATGGTAAAGCTCCATTTGTACTTGATTTAGGGTTGTATTAATAAAACAAAAATGCTATCCGAAATGATTCAAATAATAGGATATCTCAGGAAACAGATGACATGTCAGAGTTCATCTACCTATGACAACGTGTTACTGTAGAGGCTGCAAATCCAGGAAGGAAAGCTGTTGATAGGTAGGTATTCAAGGGTTAGAAATGTGGAGGATGCTGTGACATACAAGTGACAGGTTCACCTGAGGCTCAGGAATAATATAGCAGTAGAAACATGCATATCCGTCCGTACAGCGACAAATCCGACATCAATCTGGGGAAACACAGCGGACAGGGATTCGGCCCCTGAGAGATCTCCAGTACAGCAAAGCAAGGACAAGCCTAGAAGCAACTCTGCAGACGCGCTACAGAGTTTAAGAACCGATGACAGAGATGAGGACTAGAGAGAAACCGGAAGATGGTCAGTTCACGATCGATTCACCACCAGCACCGCTTGCCGGTGCCGAGCTAGGTTGTGGCGAAGGCATAGATGGGCTATTAGTCTAGTAGTCAGGAGTTCCATATCAACCTTTTGCCCACTACCTCTTGAGGTTCTTGTAAATATATACCTAGTAGGTGGTGTTTTAGAATTTGGAGTCAGACAGCAAGAATACAGATTTCAATTTAATTAATGATAGAGCACCACTATCAAGGGATTTTGCCTCAAATAGACCAAAACCCAGCAGTCCCAGAACAACAAAATGACGATTGCTACCTGACCTGAACCTGTCTCATTCTCATTTAGATTGGATTAGTACCTACCAGGTGGGTTCCATTAAAGTAGCTCGCCGCAGCACTTTGCCAACATACCCGGCATCCTATAAGGGGAAGACAGAAAAGTTAACATTGTAGCTTAATTTAGGATACAGTGAACAAGCCAAAAGTGATGCAGAGCAACACAAACTGACCCATCAATTCAGTAGCCAAGTTTCCCAATAAAAACTGCTATGCTGTAGTAGCAGGTAGTGAGGTGTTCATGCCTAACCTACTATGGACCAGACCGCCCGGACCTGTTTAGCCCCCTCGGAATGCCTCCCCTCAGCTGGCTGCCACACTGCCAACTGTCAACCCCAGCCGGGCCAAAACCAATGGAAACGTTTCATGCTTTGAGCTTTTGCCTCCCCCCAAACATGGGCGATAATTAAATCCCTGCGAGTTCGACTCGACTCAGTACTGTGTAGTGCAGAAGTAGCACCATCTACTAAAAAGTTACCACATCTGGCCAAGTAGATCAGTATTGCTAACTTGGGCTAGGTGCAGTACGTCCAGTCTACAAATATTTCCCTACTACCTTTTCGCCTATTTTCCAGCTTGCTATGCTCGTCTAATCCCAAACCATTTACCGTGTTTTATTCTCTAGGTAGCTGGAGTACAGGCCAAGTTCTCTTTGTACTCCGCTAGAAGTGGTTCTGGTACTACCCGACCTAGGTTGTTCTACCTTAACTCGCATTGAGCTGCTTGTACTTGCCTTCCTTAGCACAGCACAACAGCTCTAGGAGGTACTTGCCAATTAACCTGGCTAGTCCAGTCCCGCGCGCCGCCCCTCGCTCTCCCCTCCACAAGCCCCTAGACTGGACCCTCCCCTGAAACTTGTCCGCCATCTCGACTCCCGCCTGGCAGTCTTGATCCGATTCTTTTCACCTTTGCTTTCGTTGTTCGCAGACGGTATCACGGCGGAACGAGGCGATAGAGACGCTTCAACTAGACAAGATGGATCCTAACAATAGCAACAATCGCCTCTATCTCAACTTTGGCAATGGCAACGATCGTTTGACCGCCTCGGATAGGACCGCCTATCCCACTACGCCTTCGACCTTTCCCCAGCCCGTTTTCCCTTCAACATCTGGTCAACAGTCTGGTGGATTGCAGCCTCAACAGCAGCAGCAGCAATTTGCCGGCGGTTATGCGCCCCAGGGCTACTTTAACCAGAACCAATATGCCCAGTATGGTGGCCAGCAGCCGCAGCAGAACGATTATCAGCAGGGCGCCGGGTATCAACAACGATCCAACACACCGGGCACCAACGATCCCAACACCGGTCTTGCTCATCAGTTTTCCCACCAGAATCTTGGCGGTGCTGCTCGAGGGCAGGCTTACGCCCGAGGTCCTTCGCCGGGTCAGCGTCCCCGAACTGCTGGCAGTTCGGGACAGCAGCCTGGTTACAACTACATGAACGCCCCTCCCATGCCTACCCAATCCTCCGCCACCGGTGAGGAATTCCAACGAGCACCGGAGCGAAATCCCGATAGATATGGCACCAACGCCAACAGCAACCAGAAGAAGTGCTCCCAGCTTGCTGCCGACTTTTTCAAGGACAGTGTCAAGAGAGCACGCGAGCGCAACCAAAGGTACGGAACATTAACACAACATCTGCCGCCGTCGCTTTTAAGCATATGTAGCTAACTCGCGACAAACCAACAGACAGAGCGAACTGGAGCAGAAACTTCAAGATCCTACCCAGGGTGCGGCCAGACGCGAGCAGCTCTGGTCCACCGCTGGCAGGAAAGAAGGCCAGTACCTACGTTTCTTGCGTACCAAGGACAAGCCCGAGAACTACAACACTGTCAAGATCATTGGAAAGGGTGCATTCGGAGAGGTCAAACTTGTGCAAAAGAAGGGAGATGGCAAGGTTTATGCCATGAAGTCACTCATCAAGACCGAAATGTTCAAGAAGGATCAGCTTGCCCACGTTCGATCAGAACGAGACATTCTCGCCGAGTCGGACAGTCCATGGGTTGTTAAGCTATACACCACCTTCCAGGACTCGTACTTCCTATACATGCTAATGGAGTTCTTGCCTGGTGGAGATCTCATGACGATGCTGATCAAGTACGAAATCTTCTCCGAAGATATTACTCGCTTCTACATTGCAGAGATTGTTCTTGCCATCGAAGCTGTGCACAAGCTAGGCTTCATCCATCGGTATGTACCACATTGTGCCACCCTCTGCACTCCCTGAAACATGTCTAACCCTGAAACAGTGACATTAAGCCTGACAATATTCTTCTTGACCGAGGCGGTCACGTCAAGCTTACCGATTTCGGTCTGTCAACAGGTTTCCATAGACTTCATGACAACAACTATTACCAGCAGCTCCTCCAAGGAAGGTCTAACAAGCCGCGCGACCGTAACTCTGTTGCCATTGATCAGATTAACCTTACAGTCAGCAACCGATCTCAGATCAACGACTGGCGACGATCCCGAAGACTGATGGCTTACTCAACTGTTGGAACCCCTGACTACATCGCCCCTGAGATTTTCACCGGACACGGCTACACCTTTGACTGCGATTGGTGGTCACTGGGCACTATCATGTTCGAGTGTTTGGTTGGCTGGCCCCCATTCTGTGCCGAGGATAGCCATGACACCTACCGCAAGATTGTGAACTGGAGACAGACGCTCTACTTCCCTGACGATATAACACTCGGCACTGATGCGGAGCACCTGATCCGAAGGTAAGATATTTGTTGTATCAACATGAATGACGCAGCTGCTAACATCAATCAGCATGGTCTGTAACACAGAGAACCGTCTTGGTCGTGGTGGCGCGCATGAAATTAAGAGCCATGCTTTCTTCCGTGGCGTCGAGTTTGACAGCCTGCGCCGTATCCGCGCACCTTTCGAGCCTCGCCTCACTTCCAACATTGACACTACATACTTCCCTACCGACGAGATTGACCAGACTGATAATGCTACTGTCCTGAAGGCTCAGGCCATTCAGTCAGGCCGACAGGTTGAGGAGTCTCCCGAGATGAGCTTGCCCTTCATTGGTTACACATTCAAGCGGTTTGATAACAACTTCCGGTAAATGGAAAGACGAAACAATTTCATCCGCGAAGAAGACTTGCTGGTGTGGACAGGCTTCTCCTGGCTACCACTGGAATAGAGGTGGTGCACGAGCATAAATATGTCGGCGATCGAGCAGCTGTTTGTGGCATGATGGGGCTAAACAACTCTTGTATAGCAAAGCCTGGTCTTTGTTATTGATCTTTCCGCTGTTTTGACACATCTTTTGATGTAACTATGATTGTAGGACAGGTCTAGAAGGAACGCATGCAAACGGAGGGTTAAGACGGTTACGGCATGCGATTTGCATTATAGGGGAATGCAAAAAAATATGAGATTTCAGTCATTGCCACACAAAGTCAATAATAATCAACAGAACCAGAAGCGGCGTTTGAGCAATTTGTATTTGTAGGTGCAGACTGTGCCCATCGATGAGTAACTTCCTGCAAGAACGTATTTTAAATCAATGGTCTGCTATTGTCTTGGTAGGTCTTGAGTAGTGAACTGTATTTCTGAAGCCCTACCGGTCCAACCTGAATAGCATTCGCCAATACACTGCATCAAAACAACCCTTCATGCTGCTTGCCCTTGTATTTGATGACCGAACACGAGGTCATTATTTAAAAATCCTTGAACGCCGTACTGTGACCAGAAACCCCCTTATTGACTCCCAATGTACAAATGACTACAGCAGAGGGTGTATAAATATGTATCATTACCTCCGCATTGCCTGTCCGGGAGCGGCATTGAAACGCTCCTCACGTTCTGTCATAAACATGACTTGGATCCAATACTCCTTGGCATCCGGGTCCCAAAAGGCGAACTGTTTGTCCTCGCGCTTGTCGAGCTCACGCGCTGGGATCTTGAAACCCACTGTCTCGTAGGGCTCGGCGGCGACGAGTAGATACTGGAAGTTCTTGTCGGGCTCCTCGATGTGCTGGGTGAAGGCGTTCATGACTTGCCACTTGGGTGATGTCTCTGGTGTTGCGTCGGGGTACTGGAGCTGGAAGAGCAGACCCTGCTGTCGCGAGACTGGGTCACGAATCTTTGTGATCTTGTACCCTGGGCGACCGATCTTGACGATATTACGACGTTGCGCAAAGCCTGCGCCCGTGACACCGATGGGTAGGCCAGTAGCTGGGTCAACAGCACCCTGACGGCCTTCCTTCTGCTCGCGGGCAGCGCGACGGGCGAGGTTGGTCTGATGCTTCTTTCCTTGAGTATGGGCGAGATAAGAGCCATCATTTTGGTGTACAGTAAGACAGAGACGGCACTCGAATGAGCCGACGTGGTTCTTGAAGAAGTAAGGGTCCTTGTCGAGGTCGATGGTCTCGAGGGCGAGCTTGCGAAGACGTTCGCGACGGTCGGCATTTGTGGCGGATTGAGAAGCGACACCACCACCGCCGAATTTTGAGCCGGCACGATTTTGGAAGTCCATGGCGGTTTAGGTAAATGCGACGAGATGACGGCGAGTATTACTGGAGTTCGGGTCGAGGTTAATTTGCGCGAAGCTGAGATGGAAAGACGAGCGCGGTTGTATGCGTAAAGGATGGATACTATTAAGTTGGAATGGGTTACTGAGATAAATAATTATGTGGAGAATTTTAAACTGCGCCAGACCAATCAGCGCCTAGAATTGTATACTTCAATATGTGCCTGGATTCGATTATACACCTTCGACATGATAACTGACTCTTGAAACTCTTGAACAGGTACAGAAACAAAAACAATGGTAATTGGCTCTAGAGCTTCACGAGTTCTGCATGCTTGGATACCCACGACTCAACACAGTCGACAAACCTGCCAAACTCAGCTGCTGGTGTTCCAAGCACCAGAGCAATGAACCCTCTACGGACAATCCAAAAACCTTCTTCCATCATATCAAACCAAAAGAGATCTCTCAGAGTATCAACCTCTTCAATCTCTCCGGAACGTACAATCATGCGATCACCGTGCGTGGTGAAATGCACTCCCATGATTGTACCAATACCGGTGAAGACTACTCTTGTGCCCTCCGTTACTGCATTGAGTCGTTCCCTAAGCTCATCACCAAACTTTGTAAACTCGGTTGCGACATCAGGCGTGTAGATCTTAGTCAATCCAGCATATCCAGCGTGCGTCACTAGAGTGTTGTTGTTGAAAGTGCCTGAATGGGAGAGGGCGTTTGGAGACCGAGGATCGAACGCCGCCATGATATCCGCTCTGCCGCCGAAAGCACCAAAAGCGAGACCTCCACCGAGGTATTTGCCAAAAGTTTTGAGGTCTGGCTTGAGACCTCTAAGTTCCGAGATGCCCCCCCCAGAAAGACGGGAAGTCATGACTTCGTCCATGATGAACAAGACGCCGGCCTGCCCGTCGTCAGTACAAAACCACAACGTGACTTGAGTAGAACTCACCTTGGCAGCAATCTCTTGTATACCTTGAATGAATTCAGGCATCCCTGGCAGGCCACCTCCAGAGCCCTGCATTCCTTCTATCAAGACAGCAGCGACGCCGTCACTCTTGATGGCGGCATGAGCACTATCAAGATCGTTATACCTGGCTACTATCCAGTCATCCATGTCCACATTGTTAGCTTCTGGCTTCCCTCCCTTAAAACCAATGACTGCACCGTGGTAACCTCCACTGAAAGTCACCACTCTTCTCTTCTTCGTAAAAGCTCGCGCAGCTGCTAGAGCATGGATGTTGGCCTCGGTACCCGAGTTACAGAAGCGAACATGCTCAAGATTGAAGCGACTGCAAAGCTCGCGAGCGAATAGCTGCTCTTGCGCCGTGTTGCCACCTACATTCATGCCGACATTGTCCAACACATGTCTAATCGCCGACATGATGATGGGATTGGAATGTCCATAGAGAGCTGCCGTGAACTCCCCAGTCAGATCTGTATATCTGTATAGATTTTTAGTTCAAGCTATGTTGATTCAATTTATTGGATCACTTACACATGCCCATCTTCGGACGTAACCTCATGCCCTCGGCCAGACTTGATGACAACCGGGAAAGGGCTCGCGTGAAGAACAGTTCTTGTGTTCCCGCCTGGCATTGATTTGATAGCTTCTTCATGTAAATCCTTGGATCGTGGGTTGCGTGCAACATATTGATCTATGGCAGCGTCGAGTTTCGACTGAATTCGCAGGGTGAGGTCTGAAGACATAGCTGCTGTATTCGATCAAGGTAAATTATACGGCGATAGCTTCAAGATCCAAGTAAAGAAAGATTAGAGGCTCGTTTGGACTATTCGATCATGTTATAGTCAGTCATAATACTAAATATAGTGACTTTCGCATCTCGGGATGAAGTGACATTGACAGTGATAGCGATATCGATGAATGATAATACGAGAGTACTAAGTTTTCGGGTTCCTAGTATCGGGTTTCGGGTTTGGTTCCGTTCAAGTTCAGCTATCCAACAATGAGGCCTGCTGGTATTTACTTTAGTCTGACCAGGCTTTGAGATATGTATATCTATATCTATATATGAGTTATTCTGATACCTCTTCAATCAGCGTGATATACCGCATTTCCTCACGATAACTTATAGTTAGTGTCTCTTAGAAGTACCATGAAGTTAAGAAAGCATAGCAAAATTGACAATTCTAGTAGTTTTCAATAGAATTACATACAGTAGCTCCTGACTACTATGCTTTCCGGGGATACAGGCACAACTAAACACACGGCTTGGATGTAAAAGAGAACATTGTTACCTTGGTAGATACCTCTATTGAAGGTAGAGGTAGATATACAGGAGGTACGTACCTTTCCAAAGTGGGGAGAAAGGCGGTCTGAAAAATAAATCGGCAGAATGAAGCCATCCCACTTAATTTTTCAAACTTTTGGTCGAGATTCTTCATAGACATAACCAAGTCAGAAATTTCAAAATGGCCGGCTCAATCACCAAACCCAAGAGTAAGTCGCTAATTCACTTAGTACTCCTCAAAAAAATTCATGTTTAACATCTTGTAGAACCCAAGTCCAAGCGAACTCCCGTTCGTCTTCGCCACAAGATCCAAAAGGCTTCTGCCGCAAAGCAAAAGAAGGAGCGCAAGCTCGCAAAGAAGAACCCAGAATGGCGAACAAAGCTAAAGAAGGATCCCGGTATCCCTAACCTCTTCCCATACAAGCAACAGGTGCTGGAAGAGATAGAGTCCAATAGAATCAAGAAGGCAGAGCTGGCGCAAAAAAGAAAGGAAATGATCAAGGCCGCGAAGACTGGTGCCACCGACGATAATGCCATGGCCGGCGTTCAAGACGACGATGCTGATCAGATGGAGGAGGACGATATCGACGACGATATCGACGAGTCAAACCCCATGGCTGCTCTTATCGCCAGTGCTCGCGCTGCTGCCGCTACTTATGATCGCCAGCTGGCCGACGACGACATGGACGAGGATGACGAGAGTGATTCCGACAACGATCACGGCCCTGAGATGTCAATTGGGGAGGCCTCATCAAGGAAGACTTACGACCGGGTCTTCAAGCAGGTTGTAGAGCAAGCTGATGTCGTTCTTTACGTCCTCGACGCGCGCGACCCCGAGGGCACCCGTTCTCGCGAGGTTGAGCGTCAGATCATGGCCTCGCCAGAAAAACGTCTAATCCTCATTATCAACAAGTGCGATTTGATTCCTCCCAAGGTTCTCCGAGACTGGCTTGTCTACCTGCGCCGTTACTTCCCTACTCTGCCTCTCCGAGCTTCTGGCGCTGCTCCCAACGCACACACTTTCAACCACCGCGACCTGACTGTTCAGAGCACCTCTGCTACACTCTTCAAGGCCCTCAAGAGCTTTGCCGCTAGCCGACAACTTAAGCGTGCTGTTTCAGTCGGTGTTATTGGTTACCCTAACGTGGGTAAGAGCTCAGTCATCAACGCTCTTCTTTCAAGGATGAGCGGAAAGGGTGGCAGCTCTTCAAAGGCCTGCCCTGCCGGCGCAGAGGCTGGTGTTACTACGAGCATTCGATCAGTTAAGATTGACAGCAAGCTTACTCTTCTCGACTCCCCCGGTGTCGTTTTCCCCTCGTCCTCTTCGACACAGTCTGCCGGCCTAGTCTCCCTCAAGAACGCTACCGAAGCACATGCTCATCTCGTCCTTCTCAACGCTGTTCCTCCCAAGCAGATCGACGACCCTGTCCCTGCTGTCACCCTTCTCTTGAAACGCCTTTCTGCTTCTCCCGATCTCATGCAGAAACTCACAAATGTCTACGACATTCCTGCCCTACTACCTAACCGTGCTGACGGCGATTTCACGACCGATTTCCTTGTTCAGGTCGCCCGCAAGCGAGGTCGTCTAGGTCGCGGTGGCATCCCCAACCTTCCTGCCGCCGCTATGACAGTTGTTACTGACTGGCGAGACGGTCGCATCCAGGGATGGGTTGAGCCTCCCGTTCTTGCTGTCGGGTCTACAGCCACCGCTACCAAGTCAACCATCAAGAACGCTGGCGAGAATGAGGTCGCCCCTGATCAGAAGCAGATTGTCACCGAGTGGGCTGCTGAATTTAAGCTCGAGGGTCTTTGGGGCGACAACAGCGCTGACGTAAACGAGGCAATGGAGCAGTAAAGAGAGAGAAAGGCTTTTTGGCGGTTTATTGGCAAAATTGACGGACGATTTTACACGAGTTCTTCACTGGAAAGTTTGGCGTTTCAAGGATGGCTGTTAGAACGGTTTAGATCCGTGCATATACATTCGTAAAATAAAAAAACTATCTGTCTACCCAAAAACTCCTACATGGCTTCTATGACCAAGTGACTCGTAGATTATGCAGTATGCCGTACACCTCCTATCAGAATCAACTTTTTGTCTTGTCTATGCTTCGATCAATTCCATCTTGACACCCCGCTTGCCGGTCATCTCATCCTTTTCATCACGGACTCTAACCCTGACCTTCTGGAATAGCTCGACCTTGATCTCTCGGCTTCCCTTGGTGGTAAGTGTGTAAGTCTCAGCATCGTACTCAGCCTCTGGCTCGGGCTCAGCGAGATCTCTCAGCCGGATCAGACCCTCAGTACCAAATCGTGGAACAAGGACGACGAAGCCGTTGCTGAAGATCTTCATAACGAACGCATCTTCCTCAGCGACCTTGCCCTTGAGAGCTTGGCCGACGTAGTAGGCGATACTGGCACGACCTGCCATTTGGGCATTGCGATGTCTAACGTTAATGTTCTTACAGACGGCCTCGAGGCGTCCTCGGCTGCGGACGTTGGGGTGGATGGCCTCGTAATCAATGGCGGCGGCGAGCTGTCGATGAGCAAGCAGATCGGCGTAACGACGAATGGGAGATGTGAAATGAGTATAAATCTCTGACGCAAGACCGTAATGGCGGAACTCGGGATAGGCTTGGGTACCAGAGCAGAAATACTCGGCGCTCATCATGCAACGAGTGGCCATAATACGCACAAGAGTGTTGAAAAAGGGCTCCTTAGGGTCAACGCATTGATCCAGAGAATCAGCAAGAGCCTTGCTGGAATCAGTGCGCAATTCCATACTGCGCTTAGTGCGTAACTGGTTCGACAACTCGTCGAAATTGGTTTTCGGAGGAGCGCCGTGGCGACGCAGGATAGCAGTTTGAGGGAAGGCCTCGTAGATCTTGGCTGCGACGCTGATGTTGGCGAAAAGCATGAACTCTTCGACAAGGGAGTTGGTGTCAAGAAGCTGCTTTGTCTTGACATCAATGGGGTCAGATGTCTCGGATTCAGTCTGCACCTTCACTTCTGGGGAAGAAAGGCTCAAAGCACCAGCCTCCATTCGCTTCTTCTTGAGTTTCTTTGAGAGCATGAGGAGCATGCGCATACCCTTAGTAAGATCGTCCTGCTGGGAATCATCGTCGATTCGCAATTGGGCCTGTTCGTAGCTGAAAGCTTCTCGTGATTTAATGACAGACTTTGTGAAGCGAACATTGACGATGTCAGCATCGTCATTCAACTCCCAGAGTACAGAAAATGCAAACCGCTCAACATAAGGCTTGAGTGAGCACAAATCTGTACCTAGCAGCGGAGGAAGCATGTCAATACGCTTGTCCACTAGGTAGACAGTGGTACCTCTGATACTGGCTTCAGTGTCCATGGCGTTGGCGGGCTTGACAAAGTTGGAGACGTCAGCAATGTGGACACCAACTTCATAGTTTCCATTAGGTAGTTGTTTGGCATGGAGGGCGTCGTCGATGTCCTGGCAGCCAACAGGATCGATACTGCAGATAAGGAGCCCTCGAAGATCCTCTCTCTGCCTCCAACCAGGATCGTCCATGCTTGTAGGCACTCTCCAGTCGTGTCCCTCTTTCGGAAGGCAGTCCAATACGGTCTTGGGGAATGGCCGATACTGGACATCCCACTCAAGCAATAGAGCCTCAGTCTCGGCAGACTTGGTCTCTAGCTCACCCAAAGACCGCACGAAGTGTCCAATAGGATGCCTGGAGTCACGCTCCCAACCATCAATGGTTACCAAAAGACGTTTGCCGAGAAGATCGGCCACCTGCCGTGTACGGAGACGAATCTTTGGAATCTTCTTGTCCATGGGGATGAGGAAGACGCTGTCTTGCTTACGACCTTGGCTAGAAGCCTTGCTCGCCGACGAAGGGTCGATATGGCCAACGTATTGACGCCAGTTACGCTTGACTACACCAACAACCTTGGCTGTGGGCTGGGGCTTGCTCTCGGAAGCACTCTTCTGGGTCTTCTTGACCTGTTCCTGAAGAGCTTTACGCTCCTTTTCCGAGACAAAATCTTGGCTCTCCTCCACGTCTGCGTTCTCATTCTTGGTGATGGTATCCTCCTCAATGATTTTTGTTGAAGGCTCCTTCCACTGATCTTCAGGAAGAACCTCGACGACTACAAGGTCGCCATCGACAGATCGGTTAATGTTTTCGCGACCAAGAATCAGGAGAGGCTTTGGAAATGCCGGAACTTTGATGGAACCCTCGAGATAGTTATACGGTGAGACGTTGAAGATGCCCTGGTGCATAAAACCGGCCTTGACTCCAGTCATCATCTTTGATAGGGTGAAATATTCAGGATAGAGCATCTGGCCTTGCGTCTTGAACGATCCTTGGTTTTGTGCCTCTGCCACCATATCGAGGAGCCTATCGCCGTCCTCGAGACTGCCGACGTAGTCCCTTAAAGAGGATGCGTGAAGCCCGTCCTCTCTAGCTTTGCGAAGGTTCTCCCGATCATCACTAAGCATTACGACCGCTGGGACCTTTTTCGCATTTGTGCTGGCAAGATGCTCGCCGTACCATTTGACAGCCTGCCGTACAGCCCTATCATTGCGATCATTGACACTCTCCTTCGTCTCTCGGTGAACAAATGTCTCAAGCCTGAAGTCGTTGAAAAAGACGTAAAACCGCTTATCCTCACTCTTCGTGAGCCCCACTAGGCGGTTGTAGAGAGGCAGTGATCGATTTCGTAGTTCCTCTAGTACTGTCTGCAAGATGATCACGTCATAAAAGGCCGAGCTCTGCTCAAAGAGATCCATCGCGTTCAGCAATGCGTTAGTATCAGGTACTAGGTAATGACCCTGAGGGAAAGCCTTGGTGCCCGCAGGCTTGTCCGAGAGGACGAAAGGCTGAACTGTAACAAACATTAGCGGACTGTAGTACGGGAGTGTCAAGAGCTTGCTACCTTTTTGGGCGGCATTCCTGGGAGCGTCCTGAAGACAAGCCCTACAAAGCTTCGACGAGCAAGGAATATCTGTTCGTAGGTAGACTTCTCTCACAATTTTCTGCACTTTGCCACTTCTAGTTGAGCGAACATAAACCTTGCTTGAGATATTTGAAGCCAACGGGTCGGACTCGGTTGACCGTTTTAAGCTCGCCATCTTTGCTTGATTATTCCTTCAAGAATGTAGTAAGTTGATGAGTAGGTAGGTATGATGAAAAGACTCTTGGTTGCAAAGCATTCGAGTCGATGATAGTGGGCCTCTTTATCGATAACCGATAAGCCTGCAACTTAAAGAAGTTGCTTGTAGGCCATCCATCACATGATCAGATGGTCACGTGATCTTCCAGGACAACTTCAGTCAACCTTCTCTTAGGCCTTTTCTGTAACTGGCATTATTTTTTTTTTCAAAATAATGTGAAATAATGTGTGAAGCCTGCGATATTTCTTTCCAAGACTCTTCGCTGATTCTCCAATGGGAAGTTGTGCGCGCTTGGTGACGCATTGTCGCCCACGGTCTGTTCCGCTTCTTTATTCGACACGACTGGCACGTCGTTGGTTTAACAGAATTTGTTATATAATTTATAAGATAACATGCTTGCCATAGCTTTTGAACTACTCAATGAGAGGGTATGTTAACCACAAAAGGACCCTCGGAATACATTATAGAAGGCTCATCAGTTAACAACAAAACCGCCGAGTCTGATGCAGCAGCCACATTGAGAGACTACAAACATATTGCACTCTTCTTTCAAGATGTCACGAATGACTGAGTTTGTACATAGACAACAAAAGCGTGTAAAATTACAATATATCTCAATACTTGTATATTTAACTATGCGTCCCTGGCTGGGAGCTAGTACCTGGACACGGTGACGCAGGTTCCAAGGTTTCTTGCATTATTTGCATCGAGCCAAAGTACACCACTTATCCAAGCCAACAGAGCATTCCGACGAACATGTACTGGAAAGATTTGTTCGCTTTAATTAACAACTTCTGTGGCGCTGCCAGTAGGAGTGAAGTGCGCTTTCGTCGCTGTACACTGGTGTCACAGTTCACCGAAAGCCATGCTGGGACGCAATACTGACGAGTTCAATGAGTATCTCTATCCTTTACGACTGTCGGAGTCCGAGTTCGGCACCAGAGCTCTGGTTAACGAAACAAGAATAATCAGAGATCTTCAATGACAATTCTGGGATTCAGCAGTGAACGGTTGATGCCGCTCGCTTCCACAAACAAAGCAAGATGTCCTTGTGTTATTCATCCCATCTTTCTTATCTCCCCAAACTGGCCGATTGGGAGAGTGAACTTGATTGTCAAGGACTTACCAACGATAGCCTACTGCAACATCTTGTTCGGGGACGGACGAGCTACATAATTACCAGGTGTGACTTGCATCCAACGTTGCAACCGAGCCAACCTCCAGGGTTAGCCTCAGTATGCATACAATGTTCTGCGCCAATGGCCAATAAGCCACGTTCTCTTATGTTCCAAGAAAACATGTCTCTCGCGATGTGTCAATTTGCTAGATTTTCACGACTCAAGATCAACGGAGACGCTATAGCATGATCGAGACCGACAATGGAACCTGTGAGCAGCAAGACTACTTCGTCATCATCCCGGCCAATACTACATATCCTAGCACAGGTTCTTCGATGCTCGAATTTGTAACCTTTCGCCAGGTTTGCTAGTCACCAACATGTGTTGTTATGAGTGCTGATTTGTTACCGTCAAGCAACTACTGATACAATAAACAATCTTAACCCGGCATCGAGTCTTAAACGAACCCCATTCCGAGGCAAGCTAGGATGATTCGAAGGATTACCCGTATGCCTAGCGATGCAGACCGCAGATAGAAGTAACCCATAGAAACTGCAGCCCCCCAATGATAGCCAGGCTATCAAGTGATTCACTTCAGGCAGTGGCCCTTGAGAGCCCATTGTCAGTTTTGACGTTGATGTTATCAGAGCCTTGTGATCCAAATGTTTTACGATTATAGTCTATAGCCGCCAAAATCTGCTGTTGGAGATAATGACAAAGGCAGCAAGTTACAAGGATGACTTTCGCAAAATGAACATTGCCAGGGAATATCTGACAACTGTTGGTGCTGCTCAGATTGTCTTTAGACTGTAAACAGGAACACGCAATCAACCAAGGCGCTTCTGAAATTGCAGACCGGGATTATGATATATGCATTCTTGATGGACCTCGTCACACTTGGGATAGTTTGACAAGTATAGCATCAGACATCCCATAACTTCTCGATTATTGAACGTCCACCATGTTATTGTCCTCGGCGTTGTCAGCATCGGTAATATGGCTTGCAGACATGGGCTGCGGCCGGTGAGCAGAACCCTAGGAGCAGCGTGCCGATCCATGTGATGGGAAGGGGTAGCAGCAGGCTGCTGTATTGGGAAACGCATGATGCCGGGTATTGCTAAGCCCGGTGGTCTGCTTGAGTGTGAATGCGGCGCGTTGGAGACGAGCCAACGAGGTCGTATCCAACATCCGTCAAAGGCTCGCAATCATACTTGAGAAAATGTCAAACAAGTCGACGGCCTAGCAATAGGCGTTCTTTTCATTTGAATCGAAAACTACCTTCCGTAACATTGCGAAAAGCTGAGGGCCGCTTTGCTCTCGGATCACATATCTTTGCAGCGTGGCGCGTGTCAGAAGGATGGCTAGCAATTAACAGGCAACCTTGGATTCCTGCCTTGACGACAAACGATGGATTTATGATAAGCGAGATACTCTTGTGCCACAAAATGGAATTAACCACTCGTGAGGACGAATCGAAGGAGATTCGGGATCAGAGCCATAAGCACCACCGCACTAATATTAACAATCATCTTAGTAGCAAGCATATGATGGAGAACAGGGGTCTAGTCTGGGTGTGAAGCTATTGGAATGAGGAACGAGACGAGACAAACGCCTCTTGTTGGTAGCAAAGAATCGGCCGCACGGACTGATGTGATTGGTTTCGTACTCGCAAGTCAGCCAAAGGTTGAAGTAGCCAGCCGGTCAAGTGTCACAAGACAGTGAACCGAGTACAAGTTTGCAAGGATAATGCATCAGCATGATGCAATAGGGACCCGGATTTATGGAGAAAGTCGTTGACTCAAGCAAGTATTGTCAGCGGACTGGAAAGACAATGGCGACTCAGTTGTTCAAAGAATTGAGGAACTGCACAAAGTGATAATAATGCGACCAAACACAACGGGAGGCTAAATCATACCTTGGCTCCAAAACCAGGATACTGGCGAGGGGAAACGCAGCCACCTAGCGGTGATTTTCCACAAGGGATTAAGCCGAGGCGAAGAGACCGGGGTTCGTTCGGTGCCGGCAAGGTTTTGAGCGGATCAGCTCATACGACGTCTACCGGCGATCTACAAGCGAGATTTTTATGTTACGGATTAAGGCAGGTACTGAGCCTGAAGGCTCGTGTTAGGGCGCCTTTGATGTGGTCTACGACTTGGGGACAGATTAGTAGCAAAGACCAATTAAATCAGACAATAGATCTGTGACACGAGCATCGGAGAATGGCGAACAGGAGGAGGCTTAACGAGATGACAACGGTCCCAAGGCTGATGTGGTCTGGAATAAAAAGCCGCGGCGGGACAAGCAGATAAGTCAACAGGACGGCGGGCGATCCAAGGTCCCACCCACTTCGCTGATAGGCGGAACCTGTAATGTCTGCGTTTAGTCTGGCATGCAAAGCGCCTGTGAGTCGCTGGATTAGACTCATTAGAATCAAGGGTGGATAGGGAGCTGAGCATCACGAGGGGCCGCGCGGGGCAGAGTTGTCTCGCAGCTTTAGGAGGTGATGGGCCATGCGTTCTCGCGTATCTCGCCTGCGACATTAGTCAACCCAGGGCGGAGACAGAGACTCTGGGGTGAAAGTTGAACTCACAGCATGCCCGGGGGGCACGAAGATCGGGGGCTTGGGCCTTGAGCATTTATATATATATATTTGGAACACTCGCATGGTGGGCATGGGTCACTTTCTGGTATGCAGAGACGCAACCTGGCACTGGCACTGGTAGCGGTAATGATAGCCTTGGCCTTTCGAGTCTCTCGCTGGAAATGATATTTCTCTATAATTGACATGCTGATATGGAGGAGAGCCACAGAACGGGAACGTGTGAGTGAGTGAGTGTGAGTGAGTGAGTGTGAGTGAGTGAGTGTGTGTGGGCGGGTGGGCAGGCGATGGCCAGACGGCGGCGGTGGATAATGAACGAGGGTTGGTAGGTCAGGTTGGGATGTGAATTGGTGTGGTCTGGGGTTTTGGGGGCGATCGTTCCCGCACCTCCCCTCCTAGCCTCCATCCATCCTTCTTTGTCTATCATCCATTAGTACTTTCGGCTGCTGACTATTTACTTTGTTATATCGGTTGTTGGATAGATATCTCAAGCCAGGCCCTGAACACGACTTGCTTTCAACATGTTCTCCGCGACAGCGCATGTTGGACCCACAAGCAACGGTAATGACGAACATTGTCGGTTCCTCGGTTTAGCGGAACATGTCCGTGCTGATTCCATGGTTCTGGGGTTACGGGTTGATCGACTCGGCTGAGCCAAACACAAGAAGCCCGATTCGCAACGTTGATTAATTACAGGTGGATTCCTTGTAAGTGGCTGACCGAATTTAGCGCTTCTATCCTTTCTCTCTCTATTAAAATCATTGTGTTTCTCCCAACTCTTTATGGGGTTCTGATTCACTTTTGCGATCCATCATTCGGGAAGAGCTAGGCTACGTAATCATCGACTACTGTTTTAATCAATAGACAGTTTCCCATCACCTGCTCTGCTGAACCTTACACTACAAATATTCCGCAAATCGATACCAACCAAAAGTTCAGGGTTCTGCGTCGCGGTGGGTAATGCACGTCATGAAGAGAGACATTCATTCATGGAGGAAATGTGATGGGCTCGAACTGACAAAAAAGAAAGCAACAACTAAATCAATGGCGTTCTGTTTTTGGATGTTGCTAAAGTGAGACCACTTCACAGACATGCGATGTGGGTCAGACGCTGGTAAACGCACAATATGAGACACATATCACGGGCCAAAAAAGGTGAGACATAAGACACAACACGGCATTTAAAGGGTTTCTTGTGCGAGACTTGGACTGACACTTCGGTGAGCGTTGTGATGATCGCACTGACCCTGGCCTGACCAAGCGATGCAAATCATATTGACGACAATGAAGCTAAAGTAGTCGAGCTTGGACGACTTTCACTGCATTTTTAACAGTACATGGATGGGTATTCTCTGGGACGCAACTTGGACCGATAATGGCCCCGAATTTGCAGCCAGAAGCTGAACATAACCCAGGTGTTATGTACTGTACTGTCGGAAAGAAAATGCTTCATTATTGACCAAGCTCTGCGGCGCAGCAAAAGCAACATGGTTTCATGTCGTTGAAGAAGAGCTGCTAGCAATGTGATGGAATCTGCATGCAGTTAGCACTGCGACGGACTCTGTACCCCCGGACAAAAGAAAGTAACAAAGGACGCTTGCGCAGTTCGGCACGCCCTCCACCCCCCAGTCACAGAGAATGGAACACATACATACAGGCCACAGCACGGTGCAACAATCAGACCCGGTGTAGCGGGTCAGAGGCAGCGAGGCTCTTCATCGACCCTAACTATCAATATCAATCCAAGTACTTGACTACGGCACTATTGTTGAATTCCTTCCTATCCCATCATGGGATTGGGGACAGGAAACAATTGACGTGGAGTTCAGTTTCGGAACAGCCTCAATCAATGACAAGCCCCGGCGTACTAAAGTTTTTAGATCTGTCTTATTCGCAGGTTTGGGTCCATCTCGAAACTAGGTGCTTGGTTTAGTGGACGGATCTGTCGCAGAGGAATATGCCCAAAGGACCGCAACTTGAATGCCATCTGCAGGCTTTCAAGAAACGGTTTGCATTTTACAAACGCAACAAGTTTCTTCCCGTTGCAGTGAGAAGAGTTCTGTCCTATATCTAGCCCATGATATAGGCTACTATAATCAGACCGAAACAGCCACCGTCAGCATGTTTCTAATACATACCAGCGCAATGCCCATTCTCGACATTGGTTGCAGACTGACATCCGAGACTAAATCATGGACTTTGGCCTACAGTACCAGGACTAAGTATACATACCGTGGGGTTCAGCCGTTATGCTATTTCCTGGTTTGGGTTTTGCTTTCTTTGGGACCTCGCTCAATAACCTTGCTCGATGACATTTTACCGCCCGAGAGACTGGTCAGAGAATTGCTGGGTTATAGCCAAAGCTGAACTAAGAAGGGGCCTAGTGATGCTGATGATGCGGACGTTGATGTATGCGTCTATCCTAGGAAGTTGGACCATGTTGTTTTGAATACCGTACATAACCAATGTTAATCAACGACTTCTTATCTTGGAAAACGTCGTCTTTACATGCTGTCCCTTAACCCGCCGGTGCCGCCTTCGCCGCATTCCCTGTCGCCTTTGAATAAAATATCACCATCATCATCATCATTGTCTTTACAAAGCTTGACTCCGCCTTGACCTTGACCTCGACCTCGTTGACTCCTCTTGCTCACTGTGTCTGACTCTTCCACATATAGAGACACGCCCATCTACTCCTAGAGCCAACCACAGTTCTCATTCCCCTGCTCTTTTAGCCTTGCTCTTGTCCATCACCTTGGCTTGACTCCCCACTCGCATCCCCCTCCCCCAGGCTTGCGCCATCTCAGCCAACCATCCTTCGTCATCCGTCTCCCTCAATCGCGCCGTCTTTCCAACGGTAAACCCTTCTCCCTCCACTCCATCTTCTTTGATATGCCAGCAGCCTTCTACTGGACTGTACCGCACATACGTCCCACTCCCTCCTCCTCATCCTCCTCTCCTCCACCATCGTATCCTACCAAGCAAGGCCGGGGACCATCCGCACCTACAATAAACCATCCATCTATCTGATCTGTCTATCTATCTGTCTATCAAACAACCGCCTCGCTCAGACTGGAAGTACGGTCGTTAAACATCGTCGGCACCATCAGTATCTTGTGTCGCTCATTACACGACCAACAGCTTCGTTTCACCCTCAGTCGCATGTGGCATACTATTATCCCTCATCTTGCACATCACCACCTTGAGCGGCAAACAGAAGCACCAGCAGAGTTGTGTCTTCCCTGCGCCTGTTCGTTCTTGGTTTGAATATTGAATTACAAGCGATACACCACACGCGCGCGCACCAGGTGCGTCTCTTACAGCATCTATAGAGCACAGCAAGTATCAACAACTATTGCCTGTCTAAATCCTCTCTCACTCGAGTCGCATATGTCATATCGTTGATTGCGAATCTTTGTTGCTGCCTCCTCCTCATCACACATCTTACTCAACAATTCAACTGGGCCATTCCACAGCCCGCATGCGCTGCTCTCTTACAAAGAGCGCACACACTATCATATCATATCGTATCCCTCCCATCACATCACAGGCAGCGATCGCATTGCATCGTATCGCATTAACGTTGAACCACAAATTGCGCTACGTTTCGGTACGGTACAGCTTAGGCGCTAAATAGCCTCCGCTTTGGACGGAACGCTCGCTTCTTCAACCTCGTTTCTTCTCCACAACCACGCGCGGCGCCTCCTCTGTCGCATTATCTCATACTGCACTGCATACCATACCATACCTTGGTACAGTGTATGAAGGACCTATTGTGTGAACAAGCAAGCAAGCAAACAGGTTACTATTACTGGCGCGCAATCATCCATATCGCAAACCATCAACTCATCTCACTCACTCTTTGGGGTTAAAGAGTCACTCACTCGCCTTCCGCTGACGCACCCCCTCCCCCCACTGTGCCGCCGCCTCTTCTTCTTCCTCCTCCTCTCTCTTCACTTCTTTTGGGCATTAGGTTGGGTTTCTTTCTGACTCTTTGATCCTGAGATCCCTGGTATCATTTTGTGGACTCTTCTGCTTCTTGAACCATTTCAGGCTTACTTGATTGGATCCTTCCCTGTCCATCCCAGCTTGCTCTTACCCCTCCAAGAGTGTTTTTTTCTCCTAGCTTCCCGGTCCCAACGTCGCCACTTACAAGCAGGTGCGACTGGACTGACTGATTCCCAGATTTCCCAGTTACTACTGCACCTAAGGAAGGTGCCTACCTACCTGTAGCTAGCTGCCTTTTAGCTGCGTGCACTAGCTTAGCCTGCTCCCCTCGTGCACACCATTTAGATTCAGCACGCAGTCCCGTCCCCTCCCACCTGCCTGCCACCATACCATCTATCCCCATCCCCATCTCCATCTCCATCTCCATCGTCCATCATTAACCCTCCATCCACCATCGGCTTTCCGCCATCACACACGCACACACCCGCTCCGTCGCATCGCATCGCATCGCATAGCATCGTTTAACCATCCTGCTATCAATCAACGCGTATACTCGAGTATTCGACGACTTTGTCGAGTATTGTTTGTTACGCGAACGCTCTTTTGTCTCACTTGCGCGCTCTGCGCTGATTGATAGCTGCGCTTTGTTCGTGAGCCTCTTTTGACGTCGTTATCGCAGCCGTTGCACAACGCGATCCGCGTCTACGCATACAGCTCCATCACCCGACCAAGGTAAACCCAGCGCACCTTTTTTCCCTTCTCAATGTCTTGATTTTTTCCCTCTTTGGTTCGCTTGATTTTAGCACTTGGTTCTTCTTCTTGTCTTTCGCTATTTTGTCTTATTCTATCTTGCTTCTTGCTTTGTTCTTATTCACCTTTCGCCGCACGCCCATCCCGCCGCTACCGCGCACTTTGTCTGGATTGCAACGGTCTTGTCTCGGTCTGGGTCATCTTCCGGCTGGAGTCCATATCACGGCCTGCGCTTGACTCCGAGCCAAGGCCTGGCTGGCCAAGTCTCGCATCACAAGCCCAGGCAGGTTTCCCGCTTTGGTTCACCATATAATTGACAATTCGCCATTCACGACGCGCCTCCCTCTGGCTGCCAACCACGTGCGACTGGCGTTGCCCTCCTTCTGCATCTTCTCCAACCCTTGAGGTCTCCAGCCCAAACATCTCAGGACACGTCGCTATCACCTTCCCGTGGTCGCAACTCTCCCTGTCCCCCGCTGGCTTGGTAGCTTTGCCATGTACTCCGCCCAGCAAACCGGCGCTGATAATGCGACAATCAACCCCGCCGCCCTCAGCTCACCTAGTAAGTTCAATAACTCCATATCATTCTCCCCGCCGTCGTATCACCTCTTAGACTATTCATCTGCAACTCTGCCATATCGTCAGCATGCGCAAACCCAAATATTGTCGCGCGCAAACTCAATGATGAATACATTTGCCCCGCACTACGCCGCTCGCGTCCCTCCTCCGGGATATGCGCTTGCGCCACCTTTCACAACCATATTTTCGTTTACCCCATGGTTCAACATGCTAACAGATGTTGTAAAGTTATAGGTCTTTCACATCAACCACAACGCTCACTCAAGCGCAGCCATTCTCCTGTACTTTACGACGTGCTACAGCCGGGTGATGATGGTATGTCGGCGGACAAGTAGTTTGATGTCGCTGTGCTTTCTGCGACATCCGGCTACTTCGTGCCAGACAGCGCAATCATTTGCATTTTTTTCCCTTTCTAGACCGGAACCATTATTTTGCAATTTTTTTTTTTTTTTAATTTTTTTTGCCTCGATTTTCGTCACAGCGTCTGCTAAAAAGAAAAAGTTAGTATAAGGGGAAAGTGCTAACCATTATCATTATCACAGGTGATACAAAGCCACTCCGGAAACGAGCCAAACCAATGAACAAACGATCTTCGGGGAGCATTTCCGAGGCTCCTGGGCAGGCTGTAGCCTCGACCCTCCCTCAGGCCATTCCTCCGCCCCAGACTCCTCAATCTCAAGGCTCGGCATTGCCACAAGCCAGCCCTGCCTATACACCAGTGCAGACACAAATGCCACCCAAGACCACTCCAACAAAGTCGACTCTGAAGGCGCTGCCAACTGTGCGAGATCATACAACCGATCAGCTCAACGCATCCGGCGATGAATATCTGCCTCGCGAGATTGACGAGTTTGGGGAGAAGAAAGTCCAGCAGAATGGCACGCTGAACGGAGGTCGAGAATACAAGTGTCGAACCTTCCTCGTTCCCAACAGAGGAGATAAACTGTTCATGCTTGCCACCGAGTGTGCCAGGGTTCTAGGCTACCGAGACTCGTATCTTTTGTTTAACAAGAACAGGTCACTATTCAAGATTATTGCCAGCCAGGCAGAAAAGGACGATTTGGTTGCGCAAGAAATCCTTCCTTTCTCGTACCGTTCCAGGCAAATTGCCATTGTTACCGCCAGGTCAATGTTTCGACAATTTGGAAGCCGCGTGATTGTCAACGGTCGAAGAGTTCGCGATGACTATTGGGAAACCAAGGCTCGAAAACAAGGCTTTACCGAGGCTGACCTAGCTGGCGAAAAGCGCCCCGGTGCTACAAAGGCAAGAGAGGCGGCTGAGGCGCAGCAGAACAACGTCTTGCTGGCTGGACCTCATCCAGAGATTGTGTATAGCAACAACCCAGGACCGTTCCCCGGCCCCCCGCAGCCGCACCTTGTTCAACCAGGTATGATCGGACCACCACCCGGAACTACGACAAGAATGCCCGGATTGACACTAGGATCAGACCTCAGCGACTCCCGGCCGCGCGATTACTCGGGAATCCTCAAAGGCGGACCTCGTCAGGAGATCACCGGCCCTGCTTACCAAGACCAGACTCGCCCTTCGCCCCTCGGAGAGCTCAATGCCCAAGCCCATCATGCCGCAGATTTCAGCAGGTCAGTTAACCAGCAGCGGGATATGCGCAACGACTATCTCCAGGGCATTTGGCGACGCCCACACGAGCAGCCTCCTTCCAATCTGGCCCAGCAGCCTGTGGCCCCGGCCGATAATTCCAATACTGCAACCAGCCGACCGTCACACTCACCCCATACCACGGCCACGGCCATGTCACAGCAGCCTGGATTGGTATCCACACAGAGCCCTCAGATGATGATGACCACCGCGCCTTACTCACAGTCTATCAGCGCGCAGAGCAGTCTTACTCAGGCGCCGATGAGAGGTATGGCTCACTCACCAACACAGTCAAACATCAGGCCAACACTTCCAGGTTCCACGGGCTCCATGTCACAAGGAACGCCCGGCTACAACTACCAATCAGGTCAAATGTGGCCACAGACTCCTCAGGCGCCTCAACACAGCTATGGCAGCTACACAGCTCAGTCCCAAGCCCCTCATCCCTCACAGTCACCCTCTTCACATCTTCGTCAGTCCAGCTCTGGCCAGATGCAGAGTATGCAGTTCCCCGGCATGGCTGGTATGCAGTATGGTGCGGGACAAAGCATGTACCCCACGGATCAGACTCCTCGGCAATACATGCCTCAAGGAGGCGCCGGAGCGCCTTCGGTATCTCAGGGTTGGTCTGGTCAGCATTCACCAGCCCAGCAATGGTGGACTCCTGGGCAGCAGCCTCAATAAGAAACCCTTGCGGTGATATGAAATGACGGAACGACCTTCTACATTTACTTTTGCTCTCATTCCAAGATTCGAGCTGCTCATGTGGTATTCTTCTTTTCTTCTTCTCCCATTGTCTTTGTGTTTCCATATATTTTGGTCTTCAAGACTGCTCTCTTCGCTGGTATGAACTCTTCCTTGAACACCCAAGCATATATGTCGGTGGGGAGGCTATGTGCATCTTAATAGGCCTATTTGGCTTCAAGAATTGCTTATAGTATTTGGACTCGCCGGGATAGAGGAGTCGCACGGGTAGGGTTATGGAATCGCTGCTTGCCTTTTTCTTCTTCTTTTTTTTCTGTTACCTGTCTTTGCTTGTGGGTTTGACTTTACTCTGGGTTGATTTGGTTGAGTACATGTGCGAACCACAACATACCATGTTATTTCTTGTTGCAAGCCGGTGATGGCTAGTTGGGAGGCATTGGATTTGGTTCGATATATCTTCTCTTTGGGCAAGCTATTGGTTGGTTTTTCTTGTGGCTTCGCGAGTGTAGTTTTGATGACGACTTGCTTGTGCGTTGCAGGCTGTTGTTTGTGCTGGCGAGGCATATATCTACTAGGCTTTCATTTTGATACCACGTCACTCTTCAATTCGTTTTGAATATTTCATCACTATCGAGATCCGCTTTCGTCTCATTGTAACGCTCCCTGGCTGTCAGTCTCGCCCTGGAAGCGTTTAATATTGATTGAGGAAATGGCTCGTCTGTTGTTTCTCACGCGCAGATGATTGACACTAGTTCATTTCTACAAGTTCAAGGTCACTTTGATTTATCCTGGTTCTTTTCATGCGCGTTCTACAACAAATGCGTGTCACGCATGTCTTTTCGCGGGTGCGATCGACACTATATAAGTGGATGAAGTAAAAAACATAGTATCATTGCTGGTGAGATTCTTATCAACAATTCGTTCGCTCCCTGCCTGGTTCCTACATCGACTCACGTCTGCGCCGTGGGACAAACTCGACGTGTCATCCGTGTTTACATGGTGTTGTACAGACATCATGACAGCATGTCTTGACCCGACCCAGCGAATCGGGCTGTTGGGGATGTTGTCGTCCAGTATCGAGGCGGCAGCATAGTGACACCCGTCGGGATGTTTGTATCGGTACGTTCACTACGGCTGGGTTTGTCTCGTGAGAGGGCAGCGAGTAAGGAATGCTCGAGAGGGGGGTTATTTAGGTGCGTAGCACGACAGTTAATATGCAAGCTTGGAATGCGACAGGCGTCCGGACAGCGAACTGTCAAGGTCGCCTATAGTTACGATACTCGAAGGGCTAGTGAGAAGTATATAATAACGTCAGTTAACGATATGTGAATTATGTACGGTACGATACCGTTATCTATTAGTCTCAACTAGTCGTCCAGGAGAAAGTTTGACTCTGCACTGTAAATTTTTAATCGCTCTCGTCCCCATCCAAAGCCTCGTCTCTTTCATCCTTTCCTTCCTTGACCTCAAGGGCATCTTGGGGGTCGTCACCACTAGCTTCTGCTTCACCCTCTTCCTCTTCCTCGTCTTCCACCTCATCGTCGTCAGAATCTTCGGGGATCTCAACTTCATCTTCAGTCACAGCGTCCTCTTCGGCGTCAGCGTTACCGGGCTCAACGCGGGGGCGCTTTGCCAGCGGGCCTGTCGAAGCAATAGTCGTGTCTGCGTCAGTCTCAATGTGAGACGTGTCAGGCATGTCGGTGTCTGCGCCGTCTGACTTTTTGGCGCGGACTTTTTGGCGGTAGGATGTGCGCTTCTCTGTTTGGATGGCGTTGAATTCTTGGTACCATATTAGCAGTCTTGATTCACTTTTAAACAGTATATAGACTGCCTTTTGTAAGAAAGGAGAAGGCCAGGAGATGGACATACTGGCAAACTCAGCTTCGAGGGGTTCGCGAAGGAAAGCAAACTCGGTCTCCTCCAGGGCCTTGAAAACATCTGCAGGGGAAATAGTCTTTTTGCCAGCATTCACAGTGTTCTCGTTGGCGCTGGGGATTTCAGTCAGTGACGGGGCCTTCATAAGAAGAGAGATCCTGTTAGGAGAGACATACTGGGAGGCTAGGTAGTTGATAAAGACAGTGGTGCTTTGGCTAAGGGCCATGATAGCATTGGCCTGGATCTGTGTGTTTGGGGGCAACACGCCCTTGGATAAGCGGGTTATTATAGACTTTGGAAGGGTCAAGTCCTGTTCATCAGGTCAGCTACTGTGTCTATGTGCTTCCATCTGGTTAAGAAGTGCTTCTCCGCTCATTTGACCTACCTCGATAGTAATGTGCTCCTTATTCTCCTTATCCTTGTCTTTATCCTTCTTTTCTGTGGTCTGTACAGGTGAGGACCCAGCTTCACCCTCGGCAGTAATAGTCTCAGCACTTATGGGTGCTGGGGCTGGTGCAGAGGCATCGGCTTGTGTGGATGCCGCTGCTGGTGCCGGGCTTGGTTCCAGTGGTGACACATCATCCATTGGGACAAATCGTGCGGTAGAAGTGTCGCTTTTGCGCGAGCTGGATTTGCGCGGCGGCATTGTGAATAGTGATGGCCGATATGTTTACTAGATAAGATAGTCCTGAGAGTTGGCCGCACCCGAAATATATTTTTCTGGTCGGTTTGGAGCGTGTCGAAGGATTAAGTCGTCCTATCCTGTCCTCAGATTTGATGAAAGAGAACAAATCCAAAACAGCAACCACTTGGTCTGCCAACTCTTACCCCTTTCAACCAAAAGGATCCAAGTCGAAAATGAGAAAGATAGGTAGGTAAGGCAGGTATCAAAGTTAGATAACTGCTTCCTCTTGTAAAAGCCGATAAGTGTTGGTCTGATGACAGCTTCCTGCTCAGTTGTTGGGTTGTATTTGATGGTGTTAATTGGTCGTTGGTAGTAGGTGAAATGAAGTGAGGTGAGTTGCAAGTTTAGTGAACGCGCGAGATGTGGCTTGTCGAGACGCGATGCCCCGCTGCAAGTGGCTAGAAACGCGTTAAGTGGTTTCATTGTGGGACAAGTTTGTTGTGAGATGAGAAATTACAAATAATGAGAATAAACAAATATCTCTGGACACCATCAATTGACTTGTTAAGAGCAAAGTACAGTATCTTATTATATGAGTGGATAGCCCTGATTGAACAACAGAGACTACAATACAAAGTCACATCGCCTGTCGCCCATGTGCCAATTCTAGGTAGTCACAAGGATATATAGATGAAATGTGTATCAATCAATCTTGTTCAGTTTTATTGTTGTATATATCTATGCATCTAGCAATACTGCTAGGTAGGGTAGTCAATTGGCAACTCATCATACTCGGCCAAAAGACAACATCTGTCAGGTTCCTAACCCCCAACTTCTGACAGAATTCCTCTCATGTCGCTCGGTTCGGTATCATGGCATCTCATTGCATGAAACGGACACTATTCTGTTCCATTCATACCGCTCGCTTGCTTAATCATAAAAGCATTTAAGTAAAAAAGAAAGTAAAGGAAAGTCCGGGGTATATCCATCATCAAAATACAAAAAGATCTTCCGTATTCCAGCCGGCGTGGGCTAGGATATAAAAACCATGCTCCATCAAGGGAGTAAAATGAGGCGGACTCGGCCGAGGCTCATCGCGATACTGCCTCTTTGTAAGAGGAGTGAGAAACGAAAAACAAAATGAAGAGAGTGGATTAATGGGTATTGTTGAAAAGAATGTCGGAGTGCGGTGAGATGATAGAGTTACGTCGAGAATCGTATCTCCAGACCTCTTGGTCAGTAACGAAATGAGACAATATCTCAGTGTTAATGCCGAAGACCCGTTTTATCCTCCATGACCATCGCCTTGCAAAGCACAGTGAAGCAAGGACAGTAATGGCCAACATTTCCAGTCTGTGGACCGATAAGTCTTTCTAGAAATGGGTCAAGACGATTATGGCCCCGCCATCTCTCGTTGGGACCGGGGTCATGACGGGGTTTGAAACAAGCCGTCACGGAAACGATTTCTCCATACGGTTTGGGATGGTAAGGTACGGGGGTAAGCATGTTCCATTCGCTTGCCTGTTTGATGAGATGGCAGAAACGTCTGGTTTTGCTTTTTGGGTTGTTCGGTTATATAATTCAGATACAGATGGAACATCCGAACTCAACCGATAGCTCTGCCAATCTCTGATTGGCGAACAAGCGGTCGTGGTGAAAGGCCTCCCAGGTAAACCTCTTCGTCAAATGAAAGACGACTCGTGTTGGACATGAAATGCATTCGTGGCTGCTGTCGTCTGATATCCAGTGATTGGTGTGTCCGAGGCAGGTATTCGCTGGAGCTGCGAGTGCCGTTGAACGCATCGGGATAGTGACCATGCCAAGGATCTTGGGGCGAAACCGCGCTCATAGTACTGCTGCGGCTGCTGCGAGTTCGACTATGGCGAGATGAAGGAGGGAGTTTCGCCAATCGCGAGGGTTGACGCTTCATGGGTGAGATGAAAGCATCTTCGCCTTGGACAGCCTCATCAGTAAGACCTGGGCGTGAGTTGGGGGCGCGGGCAAGGACTGGCGTCGAAGGTATATCGATACTGTGCTTGTAATGAATTGATCGAGGGGAGAGTTCTTCGGAAACTCGAGGATGGGGACGATCGTAGACAATAACGCTTGGAGGTTTGCGAATGGAGCTGAATGAGGTGCTCTTTTGTCTTTGCAGATACTCGTGTTCTTGTTGTTGTTGTTGTTGTTGTTGTTGTTGTTCCTGGTCTCTGGCCTCCCGGTTGGCGGCTTCGATGATCTGGGTCTTCTCGTGGCTCCTATCCCTCTTCCACGATTCAATTTCCTCGTCATTGATAGGCGTGATGCCTCTTTTCATGAAGAGAAATCTGCGGCGTTGGCGGCTACGGCGCCATAGAAACCATCCAACTGCAGTAATTGCAGTGACAGGAACCACAGTCGCGAGGACGACGATGATGACTTGGATTTGGGAGTCCTTCATAGTGAAATTTCCATACTGTGTCTATATATGAAGCGTTGAAGACGCAAGTGAGTATTGGCTGAAAGCACTATTTGCTGGCGAAAAGGTGCAAAGAGAAGCGAAGATGAGCAAGTGTTTAAACTCTAGAAGAAACGCTTCAAGCGGTAAAGCAACTAAAGATATGGTTAGAATCTAGTCGAGGTATCCTATAGTTGAAGTTGGGGTTCGGTGATATTAGACGTTGGGGGTCACACTTAATGTGACAACCATTGCATCTCATTCATGCGAAGAGTATATTCTTAATGAAGATAAAGAAAGATGTGGTGCGGAGGGTAAGGCAAGGCAAACTAACAGTCAAGTCACTACTCAGATTCAAACTCGGTGAGTGACAGGGTCGGTCGGAAAGATTTGACTCGACTAGGATCAGGACGAATCGAGTCAGTGTAAGTCAACCTCGAGTTTTCGACGTTGACAAGGACGTCAAAAGTCGGATCAAATAAAGTGAAGGAATTTAGGTGAGCATATATCGACCAGGGAACTCAATGGCCCTGTGTATGGACGAAGGTCAAGGAGCCAGCTGTGGGATGAGGATGGGGGGCCGATTGAAGCTATATAGAGACTGGGGGTTTCAATGGGGTAGGAAAGGGTGTGAAGCAGTAGCAGGTGGCGTCATGGATCATCACGGTCAGCGTGCAGTGCTAACGAATTACTAAGATGGGTCACTTAATGGTCGTTACTGCATGTTTTGCTGTCAATTTTAGTACCTACTAAGAAAGAGCAGGACAGACGAGATGGTGAGAGACAGGAGAGGCGCGAGGAAGGAGTGGAGTGGAGCGAACTTGGTGGTGGGCAAAGAGCAAATGGGTGTAGGTCAAGTGAAGGTGAGCTGCTGATACAGGAAACCCCTGTTTAGGAAGCCACCAGGAACCGACCTGCCAAGAGCACGACAACCAAGAACAGAACAGATGCAGGGCAGGATTCGACTACAGGTTCCGCCTGTGGGTACATGGTATTTCTTTTTCTTCTGATTGTTTTCTTTTTCGAACAGGTACAGGGCTCGAAGATGCCCTGCATTGCATCTGCAGTCTCGTCTCAAAGAGTCCAAAGACAACGCATACCTTAGTACTAACTCAAGATCCATACATACATCCAGTACAAAGTAACCTAAAGCAGGGAGATCAAAGTCTGCAGCCAGTATAAATCGATATTCGATGTGCGCCTGAGAAAAAGAGTGAAACTGGAACAATTCCCGCACAACCAATCCTCGACTCGTGCCTTGCGTCTCACTCGCTCTTTTTTTTTTCTTTCCTGTCCCATCCATCCATCAGTTCAGTCCAGTCAGTGGAACGAAACCCCTGAACGTTTTAGAGCCACATTTTCTAGTGCGATGCAGTGCAGTGGGGCCTCCTCTGAACGCCACGGCAGGTCCCAGAGAGAACGGGCGAACAGGGCCTTAATGGACTCTAGTGCTTGTGCACGATGGATTTCAGTGGGTCACTTCAGCCGCTAAGATGCACTAACTCTTTGAACGTGGCATCCTTAGAGACGTCCAAGGTTGGTGATAGTGACAGTGATCATTCAGTCAAGTTGAGCCTTGTATCTTGATATTTACTGATTCATGCGTTGCAAATTGTTTCTATAGCCTTATATTTACTTTATTACCTTCTTGTCAGTCTTACAGGGTGTTATTACTGGCAAGTATGTAGATGGTGTCAAGTGTAGTGTTATCTGGCAGGCAGTTGTGCATCGGCTTTCTCTTAGTTGTTCCTTGCCTTCCTACCCGATCTCGATCTAGAAAGAGCATCGCATCTGGAGAAGAAACTCCTTCTACCTCCAAATTCCTACCCATCGCGAAATGCTTCCTTCATTTCTTCCTGTCTCATCCCTTTCAAGACAATCCCAAACTCTGACCGATATTATCAACTCATCCACAAATCGAGCAAAGTTCTAGCCAGGATCCCCCAGATTCACAGTCTCACCTCCTCTTCACAGACCCCTCGCATATTAAACTGTCCGCCTTTTCCCCTTTCTCGTCTAAAAACACGGGTTTAGCCTGGCCCCATGAAGGGTCTAAGACATGCAGCTGAACTGACGCTTATCATGTGTCAAGGGAGGCAGATACGCGCATATCATATTAGGGATGCCTTACAGACAGAGTACAACTCATTACAAACAAGAATATACCATAACTTTCCAAGAGCATACATAAAACCTCCAAAGACAGTTGACGGTTCGGGCCCCTCGGTTATTTCCTAGCCCGGCGTGGTCGGCACGTCACACTCGCATCTCACAGATTGGCACTCGACTAATAACTTCGTCGCTCTTGGCGTAATGAGGCGGAGATGGCTGCAAGGGAGCAAAGGCCAACTGACAAGGTTGATAACATGGTCTCAAAACGTGTCCTAGTCTGGAATGCGTGGGGATTACCTCAGTCTTTGTTTTTGTCCTGCCATCGTGAAGCGATTGTGTCTCACTATACCACGTATCCATTGTTGTCGATAATGCGGTCTAGAATGAAACGCACCATCATGGTGTTACTATGTATTCAGACTCGACAGCTCTCCACAGTCTTCGTTCACTGGACGAATACGGGAAATTGCCTCGGATAGAACAACTTGCGGATACGTACGCTCTTATCCTAAGGCCATGTGCTGAATCATGGCGCCATTTGGCCACAGCACATCTGCGGAATTTCTGTTGTCGTACTGTGGAATCCCATATGCTTTGGTCTGTCATGACAGGACAGTTGAACCGAAACATCTGGGCCGGGCCGGCTATTTGCCCATGTTCATGTTCCTGTGGACAACCTAGTTTGTGCATACGGCACCGCGAGTGTCCGAGCGACTCGCTAACACGGATTCGATCGTTTGTCAGGCTTGGCAAGCTCATGCAAATATTCAATTTATTCGTGACGTTAAGGGAGCATCAGACAATCACCTTTTGTGGAGGTATCTCCCATTTTCGGGACTTGATAACTTGACAAAGCATAGAGCGCGACAGTTCGACAGGGCCAGGCATTGCTTCTGGCTGAGCAGTTTCTTGGCCTGTTCTCTGATTCTACAATGCGTTTGCTTTTTCTGTGTGGGCAGTCATCAGAGACCCGTTGTCACCTTGTTGCACATGGATGTATGTCATTTGACTGCATAGATTAGCCTTCAACCACAGTTCTATTGTTGCTTCAATTCACTAGCACAGAGGCAAACGTCAGTTAAGCAAGCTCAGCATCCGATGTACCGAGCGGAGGTATGACAACACCACATCGACCATTCTAACAAGCTTAGAACTTTGATCACCTTTTTTTCCTTGGGTGACAATATAGCCGGTATGAACTTGCCTATTAGGTAGACAGGGAGGACTGCCTGCCTATCATCTTCGCCCTTTCGACACCACAGTGGAAGGTTTCCAAAAATAAGCCAACCTTCAGCCTCTTTAGCCCGCCTCATAGAGTTTGTCGGTTGAATTTATCCCTCACTACAGGCCACGTATCGGTCTAGGGAGTTCAACAGCTGGTACACATTTCAGAGTTGATCAACGAGACAATGCTAGCTAGTAGGTTTTGAGGCTGAGACTCTTCACCTCGTCGTTTCGGTTGTCGCGGGGTCAAGCTACAGAGAAACTATCGGCCACTGTGGAGCTGTGAATTAATATTTGAAACAGAACCCCATATGTCATTCAAGTCAAGTCATGATGGCAAGGTCGATGTCGTGATGCGGTCATCGGGGAATACTGTAGCCATTCGGCTTTTTCTATACAAGTTTGGGAAACTATCTTGAACGAGGCAACTAAGTATATGATTCTTTCGTTGTTTATTGGCGAGGTTTTTCTAGAATCGAATCTACAGATTCCATTCGACGTTGCTTGTTCCTGGTTCCTGGACGGATCACGCCACTAGTGACAGAATGCTCCTGGTACAGACCACTATATCGTGTTGGGCGACGGTTTCAATCAACAGTAGAAGGTATGCCACTAACTAGCCACTTGAACAATGACTTATTCAATGAATGCTCGGCTGTTTTGTTCTCAATCTCGAAGCAATGGCATTTTGTCTTGAAGTTTAATGACTGGTTTACTACGATCGCGATTCTCTCAAGAACAGACAATCAAGGGAAAGAGAAACAAGGGAAAGCCCAAGCGCTTACTGACTTTGCCCGAGTGAGCCATGGTCTCCGGGAGGCCATGATAAACGGGCGGGAAGAGCCTATCAGCGGGACGGCACACTGACCAATCTTGCAGTTAGTCTCTCTAGCTTCTGGCTGTTCCCCTCTTCCATGAGCGATCCTCTTCGTCTAAACCTCTTCTGTCTGGGCGCCGGTCTCAGTTACAATCCTCTCTTCCAGCGGACTTGATTCATCACCCGACCAATTGTTTAATTGATCGGTTTCGCTGTTTCCCGCAACACAGGCTTGGAGAGTCTGGCTGCTTCTCCACTCTTTGACGAAGCGATATCGATCTTCTCATGGGTTTGAATATCTGCTCGGACAAGATGGTCCAGGAACCAAGCAATTGATCAAACATCTGCCCTCATTCGTGTATCCCGTCGTTACTGCTTCACAATCTCAATCAAAGGGTATATAGAGAGGTGAGATGCTTGGCAAAACCAAGGCAAAACATATCGATGAGTGTTGATCCTTGTCCATTTTCATTCCGAATGTGGAGAAGGAAGATCAGGGGCCCAAGCTCAGCTCTTAAAGTTGTTGGTGAGCATCTCTCCACCAAGTTCATATACGATACACCGCTTCTTTATCAGTGGATGCGATGAGACGAGACGGGACCCGCTGCTCGAGCACACTCACCAGCGATTCAGTGGGTGCAAGAGAGCAGGCTAATATTAGAGCAAAGGCCTACCGAAGTCCCAAGTCTTCCACCGGCCTCAGCAGCGTTGAGTCTGTCTCTTCCCGCAACATTGAGCGTGGCGGTCTACTGCGCTCTCCATGTTGTGGTCAGCCTGCAGGCTCATCCAAAAAAAGGTGGAAGGATGCTGAACCAAGGCTCTCAATCGACAGAAGGGCACACCTCAACTGAAATGGGCTGAAGTGCCAGCCACGCCCAGCCTTCTCGTACTTGATCGCGCTTCTACTGCAAGGCACGCGCCTTCTTAACTATGGCACCATGGCGTAACGGACTCTGCGAGGGGTAGAATGAACAAAGAGAGCCATGTCCAGGGTCGGCCGCTGGTTGGTCTGGTTCGATACATCGTTTGTCTTGATCTTGCCCTCTAACGAATACTGTGACTATAGATCGGGCTCCAAGAACTTTGTCCCGATCAAGTCCGTGTGTACTCTGTACCATTGGCCAAACCATCCACATCTGGCATAGCGATGATTCACACTAAGGGGGTGACATGACTTGCAGCAGTAGCTCAATCAGTATCACTCCGATATTTCTCTCGCTTCTCGAGGTGGTGCACGTGCGGGACAAGGCTGAGAGCCCGTGATAGTAAGTTTAATTACGCTCGAACATCAGAGCAACTCGGGGAATGGATGGGGTGGAAACAGGTTGTCCATCATCCTGAAGACTTGTGTAAGAAACATGTAGGTCCTCATAAGCAACGAGATCTTCAAGCTTACATTATAGTCGAGAAGCGGAATTGATATCAGCTACAGTGTTCTAATTCACATCAAGATTTTGAATGACACCTCGGAGACATGCTATCTCGGCAATCTCTGTATCCGTCCAACTCGATATGCGGATGAATATAAAATATGACCGGGCATTGACAGTGATGTGCCAGGTTTCATTGACTACCTATCACATCTCCCACTGAGGAAATAGCGCAATGAAACATAGTAAAGCGAAGCAGGCTGGCAAGCTATACTCAATACCACGATGCCTACGCCGAGCATGCTGCATTGCCTAGGGTCCTCACAAGCGATGTTACTACATGTCCATATCAGTCAAGGGACAGTCGACAACACCAAACAGCATCATTAAGAACCCACTCTATATGCGTTTCTCCTCCCCCGCTGTTTCAAACATTGAATTTACTCCACATTGACATGCATTGAGCATGGTCTAAACAAGGGACCGTTTTCTGTTCGGTTTTTACTAATGCAATGTACGATGATCCCTCGACCCTCTACTAACTAACACAGTCTCCCATTTCTCATCTAGCATGAGCTGTCAGCATATCTTCCTCCAATTGCGGCCTCTTTATTTTTCCATCAACGCCATCGCCTGCATGTGACAAGACCCTTCAGTCCCTGTTGTGAGCATGACAAAACCCAACAGGATACAAGATATCCACTGCTCTCGTCTCCTTCTCACTCTACTTTCCTGCTATTTGATGCAACAGTGAGTTGCATGACTCGTGTATTCAACGTCCGAGAAGAGCCGCAGGACCCGTTTACTCACTCCGTGCATAAGGTTCGCAAGAAAGCACTCATTCTACCTAGTTGGATCCTGATGAACTGTGGCTGGCCTTGGCTTGGTTTGACAATCTGAACGGCTTCTGAGGCTGCGGCAAGCTAAGCTAGTGAGGCAGGGACTGGATACAGGCATCATCCCTTTCGTGGGATGATCGATCGCTAAGCGACTTTTTAAAGAATGTGTTTATTAGAGATTCTTCCTAGGTGCTTTATAAAATTTGCTTCTCGAAAGACCTAACGAATATTTTGTGCAACACGAGTAGATACAGATTTTGCATACAAGGTTCGGTATCGGACCGGATTGAAATACTCCCTTTGACCAATTCTCCACCAATATTTTATTCACGGTGGCCAAATCAAGACCTTGAATCGATACTGCAACCAAGCGGTAATGCAAGTACACAAGAAATACAACGTTCAATAATCAACTCCCCCACAACTAGTTCTCAATCTGCAAAAAGAGTCTTACCACTGCGCATTCGGTGGAGTTTGGATTTCATCTCTTAATAATAACTAATGCACTCCAAGCTGACTCGCATTCAGTTATCCATGCCATGATCCAATCCGATAGAGACACACGACGGACATGATATCCACTGTGAAATTTGCCAATGTGGACTCTACTTTACGACTGCACGGTCCAGCTTGACTGAGTTTTCTACTTTCTAGGCTCCTCCCTTTAGGCAATGATGCGGCTCTTTGAACTTCACGAGGCATGAAAGAAAAACGAAAAGGAACCAACCGGTTGTTGTGATAGAACAAGGGTCTTTCGACAAATCATTTACTCGAAATCCATATGCAAGCCGCGTGCGGTGCCAGCAGATCGTATGCAGCAGCATGGGACGATGCCGATTGTCCTGTCTTGTCATTTCACATTCCAGGACTGTGGTTGAGGTTCGGTTTTGTTCTGTTCTTTGTGCTGCAAACACCTTCCAGGACTAGGGGGAGTAGGGGGCCTCAAAATCAGGCCGCATCTTGGTCAAAGGGGATCCGTTGGCTGGCTGTCGTTCCTCGGCCTGTTCCTGTATTACGGCCTAGGGCTACAAAAGATGGTCGCATGAAACGTGGCATAGCTACGGGTCACTATTACTACACTGCCACTATATCACCTTCCTGTTCCTGTGTTTATGTTTGCTCCTCCTTGAAAACACCAGTTTTCTGATTAGAAAGCTTATTGAGCATAAACTATACTCATGCAGCCGCTGACAGCTTGCCCAAGGCCGCACGTCTAATTGGTTCTCACCCACACCAATTCTGGTGTTTCAAGATTGTTGTTCTTTGCCGGCTTCCGGCTATACTGATATACCCTTCATTATGAACCAGGTACAAACCCGTCAAGGTGATCTGGCCGTCTTTATCCGAAATTCGCCATAGGATGTTGATCACGATACACCCATTGCGGTCACTTTAAGTTGATGATATTGAAGTGTTATCGCCGAGTGGGGTTACACTTTTCGTCCGCGTGTCATATCAGCTCTTCCAATACATATGTGAATTCATGGTCGTCATAAAGCCATTCGACAACGTTGCAGCGGTAGAACGTATTTATCACTACCAGATAAACCCATCAACTTATACCCCCATATGCTATACATCTTAGCATTCGAATACCGAGTAACTCTATAAAGTGCACGTGAGACTGAGATGAAATGGCTGACTCGTTACGCCACTCGTAACAGCCTGGGCTTCACGCCCCCGTCATTGCTGTGCATAATGTCCAATGAGCCACGCTCGAAAAGGCCTGACTCTGTGTCTTCAAACTTTATACTATTGTTTCGGAATTGGATGTACGGTGAGATGTTGTGACTGGCGGTGTGTTTGCGCCTTCAAATGACGGCGATCTTGACTGTTGATGCAGGGTAAGTAAGTAAGTAAGTGAATTTGGTGAATTTGTTCAACATGCATACTTCAACGAAAGTCATTTGAAAACATAATTAAGTTTTTTGATGATTCACATATTTCTCTATGCATTGGATTGCCACAATTCGTGGCAGTCAAAAGTCGTCACCAGTCGATATACTTATACCGACATCATCACTGGGATGCAGCGGATTAACAAATGAGAATACGTTTTGAGAACGCATTTCAAGATTGCAAACGAGATAAGGAATAAGAAATAAGAGAAAAGTCAATTGAACCAATATTCTACTTGGTATTCCGTGTTAAACGATCCCTTGGTCTACTATAACCAGCAACTGTGCTGGGACGACACTTGTCGTCCTCTTCCCACCCTAAGCTGACAGCTTAATTGGAACCCCAGAAGTCCTCCTCCTACTATGCTGCCCCTCATTCAACATCTATACGGAAAGACAGACTTGGCTCAAGACGAACTGGCGGCCCTGTGTTGTAGTCAGGAGGAAGTGGCTTCATCGACATGCACTCGTACCAAGCTTCCTCGCATCTGCGAAGACGCTCCTGGCAACACTTGAGTTCTGTGTACATGCCAATATCCCTCAGGAAGTCTAGGACATCGTAAGTACATTCATCGGAATGATCATCACGAGATAACTTACCAATGACATTCATTAACTGCGCGGGATCCGCGTCTCGAGCCCACTCGAGCAGACGACACTGGACCTTGGCCCAGGTGACAATCCACTCCGCATCAAGAGTGCCAGCAGCGAGACGGCACTCGATAGTCGGGTTACTCGACCGCTCGCACTGATGAGCTGACATTTCACCTGGGAGCTGCCCGATCCAGTTGCTAGTGTGGCCTTTACCGTTGCTCAGGCCCTCCGTGGAGTCAGTCAGCAGGTATGCAAGCTGGTGCGCACCGATATCGCAAGCCAAGAACTCTGCGACTCCTTTCCACGCAAGTTTCGTGTTAGCATCAAAGGCGTCAAGGTCAACAGGATCTCCGTTATTGCTTAGGTGGACCGAATCGATTTTCCATCTGTTCTGTGGGAGGGTATTGACCTCCCGATGGGAGATGGGCTTCTTCTTTGCTCGATTGTTGTCCAACAATAGAACAAGACCAGGCGATACACCAGATCTCATGATTTCCGAGACTGGAAAGGCGATTTGAGGAGGTAGCTCGCGACGGGTGGATTCGTCGTCAAGCAGCGCAGCTCGTTCTTCTGAACATAATCTCACTTGTGGACCTTCCATTTCCAGTTCCTCGTGTCGTGGTCCTTTGGGTCTCTTGGGCCGCTCGAAAGGGTTGCTGTATGTGTTTTCCCAATCAGATTCGTCGTCGTCATAGGTCAGCTTTAGCGTCAATGGATTATCGTCGTCTATCCGGAGGTGTTGACGCAAAGCCGTGTGAGAGGCAGCGGGACTTTCTCCAAACTTCCTCGCCCTTGAGATAAAGCGAGGCACCATTCGCGGCTCCTGGATCATTATCTGACGATGTGCCTCGTTGGCAGTTAGGCCCTTGACGAAGTTGATACAGTGCCGACGTCGGATGGACTTTGACCAGTAAGTGAAGCTCCGTGTAGGGCAATGGAGCGTCGAAAGGACTGGTTCCGATGCCCAGAGAAGCGCGGCGTAGTTCCTCAACGCACGCAAATCGAGCTGATGAGGTCCATTGCCAACGTGAACGTGGAAGCCGCAGGTGGTGTTTACCCTGACTCGTAGATTGGTAGTCAGCACTCGAACAACCGCCGAGATGAGGTTATATGCCTCTTCAGAGGAATACAATGGCGGACTGGAGATCTCCACGGAATCCCAACGAGTACTGTAAGCGTCCCTACGGCAGTTGTTTTCGGATACACTGCCGTCTCGTGTAACCACCCATAGCTGGTCAGCTGAGCTATGAGCGGTGAAGCCACCACTGACAGTGAACCCGTTGTCCCGCAGCAATTTCTTGACGGCTTCATCACCCCAACTATACGTAGCTGGTGCGAGATCTGGCACATCTTTGTCCATGTCGGGAGTGCGTTGGGTGTTGCGAGCCACGAGAAACTCTAGCTCAATACCAAAGCTAACGCGAGGGGGGCGCGTATAGTTGTCCTGCTCCATCTTGTTAATCTTGGGCCCTTGGTCTTGGGCAGTCTCCTTGCCTTTCTGCTCCATGATCGGTTGTTCGGTACTGTTGGGTGGGTTATTCATGGTGAATTGTTTTGAGGATGTTCCTGAGTATGGTATCGATGATGGTACTCAATCAACGAGAGCCTGCTCTGTTGTTTTTGTGTGTTAGTCGAAATGTTGCAAGTACTGGATGTATCCTAAAACTGAATAATTCTGGACGTTGAGAGATTAGCAAAGACTGGTAGGTATCTCTATATATACACCGTTTCGATATTGTTCAGTATCCCTCCTGATGGTCTTAAATAAACAAGTCAATATGTCAACCGGCAATTATTTGTTAATTTGTTCAAATGACATGTTCCTTGAACAAGTCAATATATCAAACACATATTCATTGTAACTCTTCAAACAACCATGAACAATGCTAAAAGTATTGTTTGTTGACTGGACACAATTGTAGCAGACCAAATCATCAAGGGGGGAAGCTAGTTTTGCAGAAAAGAAGTTTCTTCATTGTTTGTTCAATATCAAAGTATCCCTACTCCATTTCGCCTCTTGCTATGATTGAATTGGATGGTAACGCACAAACAAATAACCACCGCCATTGATGTTGCCTTTCTCTCATCCCCTGAAAGGCCGTACAAGGCCGTCACTCAATTGCAGGTCGATCCCTGATTCTCCAATCCGCCTATCTTTACGCCGAAGCGTGTCATTACCTCATCCAAGCTTTACCAAAGCTTGCATCATCGGGTCTTTACTCATCAAAAGGTATCGCGTTGCATGTCGAAAAGGTGTACTGTGTAATAAAATGGGCAGTAGAAGTGAAAATAAGCTGCTGAGCAACCCCGACACGACACCCACCGGCAAGGTACGGCACGTGGCGGTGGGGTGCCGGGATGGTGTCGTGGCACTGCTGATCGCAGCACCCCACGCTTCAGCCCCGAAAACACTTAGACGAGGTATGCCAACATGCCGAGAGCAACAGCGGCGGCGGCACCCTTGCCTGCTGGCGCCATGGTAGGGGCAGCAAAGGCATCAGAAGTTGTTGTGGACACAGCCTCTGCGGTGCCACTAGCGTCCGACGAAGTCTGAGTGGCCGAGGCAGTAGCAGTGTCGGTGGCACTGGAGCTGGTATCGTCATCGCCGTCGTCGTCGCTAGCAAGGTTCTTAGGAGGGTTCTGCTTGGCGCACTTGGACTCGATCTTGGACTCGCATTCATCGCTTCCCTTTTGAGTGTTGGTTTGCGAAATGCATTGCGCAAAGAGGTTTTCACAGATGAATGTAGGCATGGTCTGGGTGTAGTACTGTAGACCGGGAGCCGAGCTATTAGAGGAGCATGTGCATTCCCAGTTGAGGGTATCCTGCAATGGCTTGTTAGTTTCTGTGACAGTTGGAGGCTGCGCTGAGCCGAGCATACATCGTTACAGTTGTTCTTAATGGTGTCATCCTTGCAGAGAGTATCACAAGTGTTTTGCTGGGCTCCGCACCAACCGGCTGCAGCAAGTTAGTATATACCGAATTTGTAGTGGATAGTTCTCGTCACGTACATCTGGTGGCGAGCTCGACAGTGTTGGGATCAATGGTCATATCGAGAGAGTCCTTGTAGGTCTTGACAGACTGAGCCGAGACGGCCGAGACGGCCATGACGAGGATAGCAAAGGATGAACGCATCTTGAATGATGTTTTGAGTTTGTGTGTAAAATCGAGTGTTTTTGGAAGTGATGTGAGTGATGATAAAAACAAGACGGCGCGATAAGTGGAACAATGATGTGCGATGCCGGTTCTTGATGCTTTCGCAAAATGACAAGAGGTGGATAGACCTTTTTATGTCGTTGTTTATGCAGAATGTGAGAAGGTGGCACAGAAGGAAGAGAAGAAGACAAACGCGACGGGTCAAGGGCAAGTGCGTTAGATTTTAAACGACGGGAAGGGAACAGAGACCGAAAAGCCTTGGGTAGGTTGCTTTTTGGGAGGGAAGGTAACGATCGGATTTGGCCTGGGCTTGGCTTTGTCTGGGCAGGTGCGGCCACTGACCTCGGTTTGATTAGGTAGGAGGTAAATGTCTGTAGCCCCGGCACCCACAACCCGGGTCTGAGATCTCCATCTCTTAGCAGCTCTGAGCTGGCCGTTTGACCAATGGAATGGTCTCCTGGCAGCAGCTGCCATTGGCTTTGCTCCATCAATCGCCGCAAAACTCTCCCATCTCTCTCAACAAGGGAAAAGACGCACAGGCACAAGTCGGCTAGAGGTAACATCGTGCCCACACCTTCCTTGCATTGGCCACTCACCGCGCTTGACCAGCACCTTTTCCGGCTTAGTCGCTGTGGCTACTCTCAACCACCACATTTCTCCGCGCCCGCGTAGGAACTGTGAGGATCACGAAGGCCAAGCTGCGACTTCCATAGTAACGATCGAGATGCAGCCTATCTCCATGGATTCTTCCCGGATAAAATACGTCTTGTGGAAAGGAGGGGAGTAGGGGGCACGACAAGGTCCAGGCAAGCGGTTACAACCGAAGAGGCAAGTGGGACAATCAATTGTCACCCATATACATACGACAATTAGACTGGACTTTGTATCAATGCATGGCCACGGGCACCAGAATGCGCTGGGCAGGCAGTAAAATCACAATTCCAGCAGGCTTTCTCTCTGTCTCACAGCGTCACTTTCCATAATGACCACCCGGCGCAGACTTACACCACTCTGGCTTCCATGCTTGGTCCTGGTGGACAAGCGAAACCTCCGACCATGGAGGCCCATATCTGACACGAGCCAATCACCCTAGGTGGTCTGCAACACCATTGTCTCTAAAGTCGGACACGGGCCATCTTGGCGGCCTACCATATCGCCGTCATTATCACATTGCTAGACAGAAGCGGAAACAGAAACAGTCGCTTCCTCTCAGAGGAGGTCGGTCACAAATGGCGATCCTTAAACACAGCTCTCATGACAAGGTTGGCCGAGCAATGTTTACCACAAGTGCTTGGCGCATGTGAGGTTGATCTCTCGTAGCGCGAGCAAAGACTGGAGCTGCCCAGAGACGCCGCTCCGGAACAGGCGGAATTGTGAAAGCGGGAAAAGGACATTTTTCATCTTATTCCCCCCATTGCTCCCTCATGGAGAAATGGCCGCCAAGATGCTAATCTTTCTCGACGGGGCTACGGCACCTCAGCGCCGACGTATCAAATGCTCGGACCTTTTGTCCATGTTGAGAGATATGTTTTTTTATCATAGGTACCCAACACATGGCCCGCGCTCCCTTAACCACCGACATCATATAGTTTGACCATATAAACATGTCATGATACATATGGGTTTCACGTCAGTCTGAGGAAAAGTATCACCATGCTCATGTCAACCGCCGACCAGCATCACATCGCCTGATTCTCTTTGTAAAACATACATGGGAGTGGAGGGGGCAACGAAAATGGTCTAACGTTGTTGTTATTTTCTCTCTCTCGCTTTTCACCGAATTATCAACTCTTCAAGCAAAGTGACAACCGGAGCGGACGATAGAGGACTTGGCGAGGCCTGATTCTCCACTCCTGGCCCAGGTCCCCTTGTCATGTCCCATCTAAAGTGCGTCACTCCATCATGCCCGTTTGCTTCCCCCTGGTCAGTCGAATATTCATCGTTTTGTCGTTTTACTTGTCGCTTGTAGTCACTGGCAGCACATGTATGGACCGAATGATAATTTGACTTAACACAGCCAGGATGGGTATATTCCAACCATTCATCAAAGTATGTTGATACTCGCGATGAAACCAAAGGCCAGTCCTCAAACATTGACCTTGACAAGAGCTCTGCAAGCCTCCCGTTGGCTCCCACCAATCAGAATAATCATTCAAGGCCCCAGGTACGATGAACATATCACTGAGCGCTACCCGAATAAATAAGTACCGACACGCATCCTGCTGGCTCTAATTCGGCTATCAACTACCCCGATGTTATCGACATTTGCCTAATTCAACCCAAAGAGCCCAGTGAGCAACTGCTCCTGTTTTGTTTGTCATTCGCAGTTCTGGTTTCCGTGGCTGGCTTCCAACCACCTTTGGCAGAGTCACAGAGAGGCTGGTAGACTACTAACTTTACAAACCCTATTTTGACCATTGATGTTATTGTTACCTAGGCTGGAAACTAGTGTCCTCGTGCCATTTTGTGTTGTGCACTTCGCCATTGCCAACTGAACCAACCTCCTGTGAGTTGATAAGCAGGCTTTAGCAGAGTATGAGACCCAGAGGCTTTCATTGATTTTCAAGAAAGATTACGTAGAACCAAGCCGCAGTGATTTGGTCAGGTTCGCGTTCTGGGCCTTTTTAGCCTCAGTGCCACTTCGCGGGTAAAGTTAACATTAGCTAGTCTGCTTTTCGTCCCATCTCGACTGCTAGCAATAATGCATGAGTTGGTGTCTGGCCACGCGTACCTCCTTCAACAAGCATAAAAAGGTTACTAAGTCGAGTGACGGTTTGTGCTATGATATTGGTAGTCTAGGCCGAAGTCTATTGTTATCTCTGCTCCGGTACCTACTGAACTGAAGCCCTTGTCAAGGGCAATGCTATTCTGCAAAGATGCCGTCTGTTCCATTATAATTAATGATGGTCTGATATGCGAATCTTGCTACGTTCCCTAGTGGCTCGGCATTATCTTCCGTGTCCATGTGTTTCTTTCTCGTATTTAAGACATGAGCATTCGTCATGGTCAAAATCTATGAGTGATACCCTAACTTGAGCCTGTTCACTTATCTTTTGACTGAATATCTTCCTATCCCTTATGATCTTCATTTTAGGGACAGCATATACATAATAGTTCGCCGGGCTTCTGAAGACCTTGATAGTGACATCGCGGTCTATATTAATTGGTATTTGCTTTATTTATGGTATAAATGTTTGTGATTATCGATATTATTAGCTAAGATTTTTCTTCTAATATCAAGGAGGCTAAGCTACTATAGAGATAAGTAGACTTTCAAATATGTGAGAGAGTACATTAAATTCGCACGATCAATCCAAAAACTCGTAGATGATATATAAGAACCTGCCAGTACCGGGTAACCAACTCACAAAATTAGTTGTCTGGGTGGG